CTTTTTTTAAATTAATTTTATTATTATTTATTTAATAATTTCTTTTATTATTATTATTATTTAACTTAACTGAGTAACGTAATATTATTTTATTCTTATTCTTCAACAAAATCATTTTCATAAAACCTTTTCAATTGTACTTAGACCACTTGCTCCTTACAACTTTTGTTGGTTGTTTCAGGCCGTCATGCTTTCGTTCTTCGAAGCACGCGCCAACACACACACACATACAAACACACACCGCACACAGAGAAGAACACACCCACCCAGACACTGGCAGTGAAGCACACAGACACACTAATACAGAGGGAGTGCAGCTCCGGCGTATTGTACGTGCTTCTACACCGCACAGTGTGGCGCACTTCCTTTTGATTTAGTCATTTTTCTCTCTTTAGCCAGGCAGGCAGGAGCAGGTCGTGTCATGGCCCGCCGACACCCTTGCCCCCTCCCCCCCCCCCTCTGCCACCCCTCTCCCTTTGCCACTTGACAAACTGCCTTCCACAGCACCGCGCGCTTCGTTCCTCGTCCTTGCTGTCCTGCCGTCGTGTCCTGTCCTGCTTCCGTTGCCATTGCGGCATGGAGCGCACTTCCGAAGCTTTTCCTGTGGGGCTTTCCCTTCTGTATGCCCGCCAATGTGATTGTGTGCGGGTGTGTCTACTGGTAAGTGTGTGTGTGTGTGTGTTTGTGTGTGCCAGTCCTTTTTGCCCCGCAGTTTGATTTTCAGTTCTGTTTTGCCACCAATACCTTTTCGCATTGTTATTGTTGTTCTTGCTACCGGGACCGAGCACGAGATCCGTCTCCAACCTGCTCCTCCTCCTCCCCCTCCTCCTCCTTCTTCTCCTCCTGCTGTTTCTGCTTCTGTTTCTTTTCCTTTTCCTGCCCCTGCCCCCGCATCACCGCTCCATTTTCCCGGTCTCCGGTTGCCACTACTGTCTGCGCTTAACTTGCCTTTTATACCTTTGACTCCGACTGCCTGTCGGTGGCAAATACACAGCAGCAAATAATATCCGAGTTATTTTTATGGCGTTTACATTACTAGGAAACGGTTTAAGGGACATTAAAGCCTCATTAATTCGATATTTAAAAATTCAAACGATCAGTTAGCGGAACAAAAAAGGGACAGAATTTATTGTTATTTTTTGGTATGCCAGGTTTGATGTGGTGGAATTACTGCCTTAATAAATTTAATTTAACTTTTATTTGATAATTTGAATGAACCAATTCCTGATTCAAAGGAGTTTCCTTTTGAACATTCCAACCGAGTTATCATGCAAATTGGTGTTATGTATGTTTTCAACTTCATAGTTATTTAAAATTATAAACTAACAATAAGTTCATTAATTGATCATTTAATAATGTTTATTACCAAAAACAACATTTCTTTATTCAGCTTATGAAGCTGATTAAATTACGAGTGTTGGTCTGTAATTTCTAGTTCTGAGTTTCATAATGTTTTGGTGTTTTTTTTTCAGTGTAGCTCCGCGTAGTGGGCGGGGTATTTCCCACAGCCAGCGAGCCGTGGCCGAAGGTTGCATGTGGCCTGCTGCCGGCTGTTACACTGCCACTTCTCCCGCACGTCTGGTTGGATGGCTTTCGAGAGGAGGCGGGAAAGCGGGGAAGCGGGGAAGGAGTAGCTGTTGGTGGCGGGGAGGCAGTGGCCCAGTGGATGCGGCAGTGGCAGTGGCAGTGGGGCCTGTCAAGTCGACCAGAAACATCGGCAGCCAGTGAGCCGCAGAGGGAAAAGGCCGGAGAGGCAAAGCCGTAGAACTGGGGGAACTGGGGGAACTGGAGAACCGGAGAACCGAGAAGCACCGGGGTCGTGCCAGGGCTTTTAGCGATGACGATGATGACGACGCTGTTGGCTGGTGGCTGGTGGCGGCCTGCCTGGTCTCGGTGTGGCTATAAACGATTTATGTGTGTGCCAGCACCACATGACTGGCCCCAGACCCACGGAGCCATCCATCCTTCCACCCAGCAGCAAGCCAGCGAACAGCAAGCCACCCAATCTGCAACCGCGAGGGCAGCATTCAAGTCATCGTTCAGTTCGGTTCAGTTCAGTAATTTGGCTGGCGGCAACGGCAGCTGGCAACATGCGCGCCAAGTGGATTGGGTAGCGAGCTCTCATCCTATATCCTCGGCATTATTCTGTGACCTCCCCAACCCCCCTTTTTCGCCCCACCCGCCACGTGCGTAGCTTCGAGAGCTCTTGTTGTTCCCCCGGCCATGTTTGTGCGCTCAACTCTGATTGCACCTGGCCAGGCCGCATAAAAAACCCAGGCCAAACCAAGCCAAGCCAACCCAAGCCAAGCCAAGCCATTCCATTCCATTCCAGGCCAGGCAAACACACAACCCAACTCCAAGGCTTCACGAGCGATGAGTGGCAACGACCCAGGAGACTCGCACTTGGAGTCACTGTGCGAGGCAAGGCTCTCGCTTGGCTTTAAGCTGCGGCTGCTAATTGCTCATTATGCTACCCAGTTTTCGCCACCGCTTCAAATTGCCGTTTAAAATTTCATAGAAATGCTGTGTTGTTCGGTTCGCCGTGGGGAAAAATCCGGCCAAGGAGTGGAAAATTGAAATTCTGCGTAGCCCAAAACAGATTCACAGAATTCGCTTGCTGTGTTAATTAAATTACCGAACAATGAAGTAAATACTGTTTTTAATGCAAGCCAATAGATACTTTTGTATGTCCTGTGAAGATTAACTATGGTGCTATTAATTGCCAGTCGAAGACTTTGAATTATCTTTTACAAAAAGTAAAGGAAAATCCTCATTTCAAAAATATCTAAATATTTACCTGAAAGCAATAAGTTTTGAACTGATTTAAATTAAATTAACACGGCAATAGTTACTTCTTGTTTAGTCAGTAGTTTATTGTCTTTTGAGAAACCCTTTTCAAGCGTAGTTTATAGCTTGATATTTGCCGGATTTAAATCACATGCTAGAACATAAAGTGAGTATCTCCTGATATATGAATATCCACAATGTGGCACAATCCATGTGTGCGCCACTCATCGCCGGCAAAAATGGTAAGCTAAGCTCCGATTATCCTGCCAACCTTGTGACGCATTATGTTACGTACAAATTCGATTGGTTTTGGATATGCGCGGCAGTCAGTCCTGTGAACCCGGCACATGTGGGCACATTGCAGCAATGTGGCATTTCCATATTTTATGGGACGCAGTTTGGGGCACTTGTTGTTGCCTGTTGGCTGTTGTGGCTGTTGGTTGTTGGCTGTGTGTGCGGACTGTTTGAATCGACGGGGAATGCGTTGCGCACCTTGTTAAGCCACGGCTGATGTGAATGCTCCGCAGCCCCGGCAATTTGTTGCCATCAACTTTGTTGCCACGGCATTGCGCCCCCAAATAACTCGCACCAGCCAGCCATCCAGTCAGCCAGCCAGCGTATTTATCTAATAGTCCTTTCTACTGCCACTGTCACAGTTGTCTTCGTCTGGCTCTCCTGCCACTGCCTTTGCCACTTCACGTTCTTCACCTCCTTCTCGTCCTCCTGCTCCTGCCACACAATCTCCACCCCCACTTACTCGTCCCCTTCCATTGCCACCTCTCCTCCTTCGTCGCTTTCCGCTGGCCTGGCTTATTATTTGCCACGACTGCTGCGCCGCAGAAGTTTCGCCTCGTTGGTGTTATGATTTCGATGCGGGCAGCCGAATGGCAAAGTCAGCGACAGCAAACACCCACACTCGCACACACACACACACACACACACTTAAACACCCCGTCATCCTGACCCCAGTCAGTCGGTTTGGAAGAGCAGGAGCTGCTTCGTCGCCCGCAGGCCACAACCCCGGTCCCGGATCCGGCTAACCCGCCTGCTGACGCCGTTGACGCAGTCCACCCAGCAAACAGGAAGCCCAAGGATAGTAAGGCAATTTAAAAAAATTACTTTTAAAACTAAATAAAAATAATATTAAAGCTGAATGAGTAAAGAAAATTAGGAAATAATATAATAAGTATAAATAATAACAAGTATTTATATAACAAATTTAAAAGAAGGAAATTTCTCAATCTTTAAAGTTATTAAAAATTATCTTCAAGTATTCAATTGAAATTAAATTCGAACTAAACCTCTTTAAAAAATTTAAATAGCTTTGAAAAAATTCATTTTACTTTAAATATTATTTTAAATTACTAATATGTATTAATATTATAAAAGTTCAACTACTATCAATTTTGTATTTTACTATTCCCTACATTGCCCCAAAAAGTATGCTCTGTATTCTGCTATCAAAAATATCACTCATCCGCCATGTCTGCTGGGTAATTTCCTATTTGCGCCTAAGCGAATTGATTTGTATGCCTGTGTGTGGGTTCCAGTGTCTATGTGTGTGAAAGCCAGACATGGTCACGCCGTCCGTCCAAGTGGCGGCACGTCGATCCGGCTTGTCGCTTGGGCTGCCTGACATTTGCCGCAGCCAGCGCGCCACCAATCCCTCCGCCCAACCACCAACCCAATCCATCCCAGTCCCAGTTCAACCACTGAGCCGCCCAACCACCCACCGCCCACTGGCAACATGCCTCCGCTGCGTCGTTAAGCTCTCGCCAAATCTATATGTGCCTGTCTATGTGTGTGTGTGTGTGTGTATTAGTGTGTGTGTGTGCGGAGGTCGGTGGGGCAACCATTACCACAACCACCATTAACGTGGCAGGCAGCCAGGCGTTGCTGTTGTTGCTGCCACATCCACAGGCTTTTGTTGCTGTTGCTTGTTGTTGTTGTTGCTGCCGCTCCTGCTGATTGCTGTTGCTGCTGTTGTTGTTGTTGTTGTTGTTATTATTGTTGTTGCTTTTATTGTCGGTTGACTCCAATCTGCTTTGGTTGCTGCGCCACACGACGAGGACGACGGCCGCCTGGCTCGTGCCACTGCCAGCAGCAACATCAGCAGTAGCAGCAGCAACAACAACAGCAACAACAACACTAACACCAACAAGCAACGACAGCAGCAACATGAGCTAACCAAGCAGTTCAGTCGGGAAATTTTGCACAAGCCAAGCGCACGCGGCAGCGGAAAATCGGAAAACCCAGTCGCCAGTTGCCAGTTGCGAGTTATACAGGCGCCGACAAGCGACGAAGTGAAAAGTCGCAGTTGTTTTTGCTCCTTGTCTTCAGTTCGCCGTGAATCCTCGAATCGTTCGGACGTGTGTCCGTGTCGCGCGGAATTAAATATTTGACTAATCAACGAAAGACGTAATTGTTGGCGCGGTCTCGGAAATTAAGCATTTCGAAAATATTTTAAGAAAACAAATCAACAATTATCAGCAATTATTTCTGATCAACGAGGGCAACGAATTCTTTTGGATTTCGTTAAAATGAGAAAATGACAGCAAAACGTGATAAGGATTACTCGAAAAATAAATCAGCACCTGGTAAAATACGAGTTTTTATACGCTCTATAAAAAATTAAATGCAAAATAGAAATTAAAACCTTAAAAGGAAAAGTTTTCATAATTTATAAACGAAAATAAAAGTTAAATTATTGAGTGTGATTAAAATTTTGTTATTAAATAAATTTAACTCTGTAAAGTTTTTTACAAAAACCTATTTATTTTACTTTATTACATATTTATTTTACAGTTGAAAAATTAAAGACATTTAGCAAAAAACTTACTGCTTTGGAAATACAAAAAAAGACGATTTCATAAAAAGACACCTGTGGGCAAAAAAAATGTAAAACCCAAATCAAAAGATATTACATTAACTATAATATTTTGTGTTAAACAAGATAATTAAATAAATAAATGTAGCACAAGGCTTTGGTTTGAAACCCTTTATTTAATATGATGCAAGTTTACAGTTGAAAAGTTTTGTGGGCAAATTAAAAAATTTGCCAAAAATTAAATTTTACAAGTTTAGTTGACAAACTGGCAACTTTATCTGCGCTCAAGTCAAATTCAGCAGCTTGCACTCACTTAAACTCAATGAAATGTTTAGGGAAAACCACCTGCAGTTAAAATTTGTAATTAAATTTATACTTTGACATTGGGCATTCCATTCAGGCATCGGATTCACCGCCGCCGGCTCAACAAATGGCAGCGGCATAAAGTCCATCGGGCTGGTTAGCTCGACGCAGAATGTGACTTCGTCGCAGGACATCAGCAAGCGGACAAACAAACCACTCATGGAGAAGCGACGGCGGGCGAGGATCAACCAGAGCCTGGCCATCCTGAAGGCCCTCATCCTCGAGTCCACCAAGAGCCAGAATGCCAAGAACGGCGAGGGCCAGGCGAAGCACACCAAGCTGGAGAAGGCCGACATCCTGGAGCTGACCGTCCGTCACTTTCAGAGGCATCGCAACCTCGACGATCCCAGTGAGTAGTCTCTCAATTAAGTTCGTAAATTTAATAATATACTTTCCTAGGTTTCGAAATTAAATAGAAGAATGGAAAAAAACATTATGTTCAAATATTTCAATTAATTTGAATAATTACATGGTTTATTTATTTCCTTAATATTGTTTTACGAAACCTATTTTAAGATCAATCCATCGATTTTAAAACCAACTAAAGTCAAACCATAATATGCCAAGTGAAAGACATGATTTAATGGAGGTTTTTCATTTAGTTGTAAACTTATTTTTATTCTAATCAACAATTCAAAATATACATTTTATTTTGATGCTAAAATAATATCTAAATTAGTATTAAACTGTCTCTAGATGCTCAACAAATATATTATTAAATAAACTTTTTAATCCAGATTTTTAGTAATCATATCTTAATATTTTCTTTCCTTTAGCGGTCAACAAATACCGAGCTGGCTACACGGACTGTGCCCGCGAGGTGGCTCGATACCTGGCCACCCCGGAGCCACCGCCCATGGGCACCATGCCCACTTTGGCGGAGCCGGGCTCCAAGGCGCGCCTCCTGCGACACCTGGACCAGTGCATAGCCGAGATCGACGTGGAGATCTGTCCCCACTCGACGGCCACCTTTGCCGAGAGTCCCAGCAGCAGCAGTTGCTTTGACCTGAACCACACCAAGAAGTCCTCCCAGCCGGAGGAGCACTCGCTGGACTACAGCAGCCAGGACTCGAATCCCCTCGACTACAGCAAGGGTCTGAAGTTGGTGGCCGCGGAGCAGAGAACCCTGCCGGTTACTCCGGCGCCGCAGGACGAGAACAACAATCGTGGTCTGCAGGCGCAGGCGCAAACTCCCATACCGATTCAGGTGCAGAACCCGGCACAAAGTCAGCCCTCGCCGCAGGATGCAGTGGCTCCCAGCTCGGAGCTGAGCTACGAGGAGGATCGCAACAAGGTGTGCGCCAATGTGCTGGAGCAGTACAAGCAGCAGCTGAAGGCGCAGGTGCAGCAGCAACCCGAGTCCGCCAATGGAGTCTTGGTCCTGCCACCGCACTACGTTCAACTGGCGGCTGCTTTGGGATTGAGTGCCCAGCCCCTGGTGGATCCAATAGCCACCCGCACGGACTTCGAGCGGTTGATCGAGCTGCAACGGGTGCAACCCCATTTGGCCGGCAAGCTGAGTCCCAGCTTTCCCGGTGGCCTGGAGGCGGCCCACGTGGCTGCCGCTGCAGCAGCCGCTTATGCCAACAGCATGGCGGTGGCCGCATCCGCCGGAGCCAATGTATCCGTTGCGGTGACGCCATCGGCGCACCAGGAGCGGCCCGCCTCAGTGGCTGCCTCCGTAAGTTCCGGTGTCTCGGTGACGGAACTCAAATCCATGCCCGCCACGCAGCAATCGTCGCCTCGATCGGAGAGTGGCATCGGTTCCAACGAGAACGAGGCTGTACCAGTGGCGAGTCCGCGTCCACAGACCAGCAATGCCGCTCGACAGGCATTGAGGCAACGCCAGGAGGAGGAGTACCACTACATGGCCCAGGCGGCAGCGGCGGCGGCTGCTGCAGCAGCTGCTGCTGGACAGGACGAGAGCATGTGGCGGCCCTGGTGAACCCCCGGTGGGTCAAAGATCCTACCTACCCTATGTACCAAGTATGTAGACTGCACCAGTATTGGTTGGATGGAAAACACAGCCGGCAACCGGCTAGCAGCACCAACTGAACGCCAAGTGAAGGATGATACCGATTGTTATTACCATTCGTTCCCCGCTCCTTTCCAAACTTGCATTTCCTACCTGTGCCAATGCCCCAAGAGACTCTCTACAAGACGGGTTCCAGAGCCAAGGAGAGCGATTTTATTTTTGCCCTGAACTCTGCGTTAAATGTATTTAATTCAATACTAAAAGCTAAAATATTTACAAAACACAAGCCATCGTTTTACTCAAAGGGGAGACAATATAAACTGCTAACTTTTAGTATTTTTATTAAGATACATTCTATAAATACGATACAGATCCATGCGGAGGTCCAATAAATACTTGTATTATATATTATTTATATAAATTTTCAAACGAGAAAAAGGAGACTTAGCCTACACATCAGGTTCTTGGGTTCTACTTTGATTTCATTGCACTTAGGGATTTGCGAGGCGCAGACTGTCGCTGGCGGGCAAGGAATGTCTGTCCCGAGCCCATCAAGATTGCGAGCTTTGAATCGATCGCATCGCGCTGTGCATTCACACCCAACCGGTAGAAGGCGGAGGTCATCAGCTGCTCCTCCATCACACTCATCTTGGGCTTCGGTTCCTCCTCGACCAGCTCAGCACTTTTCTCCAGGACGTTGGCATCTAGAGCTAAGATACTCGAATTTAATTTGTATCTAGGTAGTAATATGATTATAGCTCACCACTAGCTATTCGCGGATCAATGCTCTTGATCACCTCCTTGGCCTTCTCCACGCATTTTCGATATTTGGCGTCGTACGCCAAAATTTCTTGTTCACGTGCAGATAAATTAGTTTCCAGCTGAGTCACCTTGCATTGTAGGGAAGTGCTTTGAGTTACTGCCTCCTCCAATTGAAGTGCTGCGTACATATGTGTAAAATAATATTAGATTTTTGTTTGCTTTCAGAACTATCTCATAACTTACTCTTTTGTTCATTTAGCTCCATCAGCTGTTTAATTTGCTTGCCAAACTCGCTTCTGCAATAAAATACATTTTAGATATAAGTGGATTTAGTACCTATCAGACACCCTTACTGAAAGAAATCATGTCAGTAGGCGCGAATGTGCTAGTGCAGTATACCCTTTTACTCGACGAATACTTTAAATCTAGCTACGAAGTGTAAAAAACTTACTCTTTTAAAATTGGGTCATCGCTTTGCGATGCATGCGACAGGGAAAGTATACGTTCATTGGCTGTCTTTAGCTGCTCACGCAAATTCTCGCAACGTTTATTGGCATCATCCAGAAGTTGCTACAACAAAATTATTGTGAGTCGGATGTTACCATGCGGAATTGTATATGATTACTCACCGCCAAAGCTGTCTGGCCACCCTGCCCCTCACGCAACGCCTTGTTCTCCGCTTCCAAACGCTGTAGTTTCTCCACGGTGGCAGATGGTTGCAATTCCCGTGAAACTGTGGTGCCAGTCAGGGCCGAATTCGAGGACAATTGTCCGCACTTCAGCTCATCGACAGTCTCGCGCAGATTGTCGCGCTCCTTAAGCAAACTGTCCTTTGCTCTCTGCAGGGCCAGATTCTTGCCCTCCAAATTCTTGTTGTCAAACTCCAGCTTAACGTTCTTGCTGCTCTCGGCGTCTAGTTTGGCATGCAGGTCTTGGATCTCCTTCTTAAACAACTCCACTTGGCCTTTGGTGTTGGCATATCGCTTGGCGTCCTCCTCAAACTGCGCATTTTGCTGCACATAATCGGCGCTTCGTTCCTCCAGAATTTTTACCTGCTTCTTCAGGTCGTTATAGTCCTCAAGCTTCTTTTTGTATGTGTCAAGCTGGGCTTCGCAAATCTTCAGCTTGTCATTGGACTCTCGAAGAACGTCTACCTCGTCTTTGAGCGTGGTTACCTCAGCAGAGCTTTTCTGTGAAAAAATAAATTAAAAATTAATAGAGAATCACTTTAAATGTGATCGTACTATAAAGATTCATACCATAAGTTCCTCGATGCGCAATTGCATATGAAGAAGATCGGAATCTTGCTGCTGGGCCTTGAGTTTCAGATCTTCGCGGGCTCCTTCGGATTGCAGCAGCTCCTCTTTAAGGAGTTCCAGTTGACGTCGCAGCTCGTTGTAGCGCACAGATCCGGTTTGGACTGGTCCCAAGGAGACTCCATCGTCTCCAATAACCGTGGAGTGTTGCTCCAGGCGGGCAAACTCTTGCTGCAGCTTTTGCAACTCCTGCTGTAAGTTCGTTTTCTCATCAATAAGCAAAAGCATTTTCTTCTCCGTTTCAAAACACTTTTGTGCCATGGCGTCCCGCTCTTCTTGCACAGCCTTGCTGTCCAGGATTCCACTGATGGAGCTGCGCGAAAGGGAACTAACTACGCCGCCTTCCGGGGAAGAAGCTTGTCTCGTGGACTCTAGCTCCTGCAGAGCGCGCATAATGTTCGCCTGCAGCTCCTCCTCCAAACACATAATCTCCGTAATGTAGGACTGCTTTTTGGCGCAGTTTACGGCGCACCCAAGGACCAACTGCAACAGCCTCTCCAACTCGCCAAGATCACATTTCTCAGCGATCCTCTGCAGATCCGGTTTAGAGAAATCACTCAGCGAGTAGTTGAGCACCTCGCTATAATAATCGTACACGGACTGAGTAACCTTCTTCAGGTTGCTCATCCGGAGCCGCCAGTTGCTGCCCACGGCACTGGCCTTGATCTTAGACAGCCAGGCATCAGTGAAAGATTCTGGGGCAAATTGGTTAAGGGCCTGGGCCAGTGCCACACCGTCAGCCAGGGATTCCGCATCCGAGTGCGGCGCGTTCAGGTTGAGGGTCTTGAACCACTCCAGCAGGCTGTAGTACATCTCGTTCTTTGGCGCGGACATATTGCGGTTCTGAACGAAACGCTAAACGAAACAAAACAAACTAAAAATATGCACTATTTTATAAAAAAAATGAGAGAGCTCTCCTCAGCTGTTGCACTAAAAACAAAAACAGGAATCGAACTGCACATCGATAGACCATGAATTGCACTCTCTCTATCGATATACAAAGTGCGTTCCAAAGTCAAAAGAATTAAAAAAAAAGGAACAAAAAGCTTTTCAGCAAAATTAATTTATTTTGTTCAAAATAGTCAATAGCTTTACTTCCAACCGATGAAATGTCATGAAATTCTCAATGGACAATCAATAAAGATAGCAGATTCTAACGCACCAGTCCACATATAGATGGCGCCACCAGGATCGGCTTGATTCCAAAAGTCCTGTTTATTTTGAAACGCACCTTGTATATTTATAAACGTTTCTTTAATATTGAGTAAACATTTTTTATTTTAGAAAAATCCATTAGTCTTTTTTATTTGTATATTTTGATGCAATTTTTTTATTATTAATTAAACATATTTTTATGTTATGAAAATCTATTAGTCTGCTTTTAAACCTTTAAAAAATTTGATACCTTTGCAAAAAACAATTTTAATAATTTAAAAACCATTTTTATGTTGGGGTTTGTCTTGATGAAATGTTGAAGTATAATACAAAACTGATTATTATTTTTCAACTGAAATGATGAACAAAGCACATAAGTGATTTCTAAAATCGGACTGATTTTAGGTGAAGATAACTAAATTTACTAAGCCATTTTTACTATATGCTTCAATATTGGTTTATATTAAAATCAATGGCCATAGTCGAGCCCCGCCCACTTTCCAGAGCCTTTTGCATACATTCCTCCGCCCATCGGAGCTTCTGGTCCTGTTCCTTTATCTTATCCACAGGGGTCCAGCTCAAATCGAACTCCAATCTATAGCTTCCTTTAAAGGTCTGGTCAACCGACAGATTCCATTCCTACAAATAAAGCTATATAATGTTGTGTACGGAAGCATTAAAAACAAATCATACTTCCGGAGATAGCATGCTGAAATAAGTTTGACCTGATGGCCTTTGATAAAGATGATAGATTTGTCCGGGTTTTTTGGCGAAATTGCAGGCCGCACTGTGTAAATCTCGATTAAGATTTGACTCTTTTAATATATCCATGGCCTGGGCTTGCAGCATTTTGATCTTTTAAGTGAATTATCGTTAGTTGTAATCGTGATTTAGAGGCAAATGCATATACCTGCTCCATTATAACGCCCAGCTTGTGGAAGGTTGTATTTTTTAACTGTCTATCTGCATTTTGGATCTGTTGAGCTAAGGCTATGATATCCTCCTCCTGATGCATGGAAACGCGCATAGGATCCAGCTGGGACTGGGGATTCCTCTCGACCAGTTGGGCTGCAAAAATAGTACTTCATATTTTCTCGCTTGCCTTAATAGTTTCATACTGAGCGTAATTTACCCTTTTTAACTGCTGTCTGATAAGTCAATTGGTCCATTGTAAGAGTTCTTTTCATAACACGATCACGGGCATGGACAAAAATAGTTCGTATAGTTCGGTAAACAACTTAATTTTATCTGTGGACTGCCAAAAACATCTGAACATGTGTTTGTTGATACTTCTCCGTTTACCATCGATTTACGGTTTCGATTACTATCGATTGAAGCTGATTTTCGCACGACCAGGCCATACCTAGTAAAAGAAGAAGAAGCAGACCAAATTGTAGTTGTATATTTTAGAGCTAGCAAAACTGTGAATTTTGGCCAATAAATATCAAATTGTAATGTGCCAGATACAATCGCCGATCCGTGCAGTAGCGTTAGTGTCGTAAGAGTGCGAAAATCAAGTCGCGTTCGCGTGAACTATGACCCCTTTTGGCCACCGTAGCAACGGTGCCACTGCATTTTAGCGAAAGGAAACACTAAATGCCCATTAAAAAGCGCACGCGCGCATAAAATGCACTATTAAAGGCCCGAGAACTTAAAGTTTTTCATTGCAAACAGCTGGGAGCAGCGATACAGTATCACAAGTTGCATTGGTAAGCCCCAAAGCCATGCCCCCAATTTTCGTTTTTCACAAACCCAATTCTGCACATATATCAATATATATGCATATACATATATGCGATGTCAAAAGGGGCGTGTGTGTGAGTGTGCTTGGACTTTTCGTAAACAACACATGCGGGTCAATTATTTGAATGTTTTCGCTGCTCGACCAAAAAAGTCACAGCACTTGGCTTTTATCAGCCGAGGCGTTGAGGAATCGGAATCCCATTCAGTACATATGTATGTACATGTATCCATCTGTCTTATCGGCATGCGTCATTCGAGCTACTGGGCTGCACCCGCGGCCCGGACTTGAACTCCCTGGAACCGATCGGGCAGCATATCTGGCATTTGAATACTATAATTTGCTGCAAAGTCTCTGCTTATATAGATGACTGCCACAGAAACCCCAAGGGATTGTGAAATACCTAACCACAATATATTTGATTTATTAATTTTTAATTTTAACCAGCCATTTTGAGTTGTTTAAAACTCCTTCAATGATTTTTGTGGCATATCCGCTATATGCTCCCATGCCTTTTTAGTCATGCGCCAACGAAGGCGTCATTTAGTTGACCCAATTATCAGCCAGGTCCCAGCAAACTCCGTGCCCCGAGTAATGTCAAATGTGACATTCACGATTGTATTATCCTTCTTTCAGGCTGAAGCGAAATTACATAAATTGAGCCAACCAAGCGCCATGCGAGCCTCCATTCCGCCCGGCATTCGGGTGGTTCGCGGACCCAATTGGATCTGGTCAAATCAAGGTAAGAACGCATCGGGGCAGCCACGAGCCAACTTGTTTACCCACCTCAAAAAAGGGGGGAATTAACTTGCTCTCTGTTTATAGATACGTGTGGTTTTTTTTGTGCTAAAGAGTTTAGACTAGAATTAGCGTACGTTGAGTATAAGTCGGGGGAAAACACATAATCGAAAAAATAGTCGTCTTAAAAGGTAGGAATTTTTCGTGAATCATTTGGTTGATATTGTTAGTTTTGATAGCAACGAATATAATTTTATTATATTTAAAGGAAGCCATTTCACGACCCTTAATAAAAAGAAAAAATATAATTTTGAAAGGGATTTTTCGTGACCGATATTTACTGTATACCCAAAACTGAACTCACTTGGCATTGGCACCCGTGGTGGGTCAAGCGGGGGGATTTTCGGGGGCGGTACGGCGACGGAGAGGTGTACGTCCGTGTCCGCTGTTGCTGCTCGGGGCGTTGTTGTATGTAAAGAGGACGCGCCTCGCTATTTTTAGCAACACTCACTGCGGCAGCAGCGAAATTCTTGCGCTTACCAATTGCTTCTGCTTTCGTCGCTTCGTTTTATGGTTCATACATATATGGCGGGGATGTGTGGTTCTCGATAGTACATATACACTATAGCACCCTACGTGGCAGGTAAACAATCTCCTGCCCTCTGGCAGCTGCCCGCCAAACAATAATATTGCGTTGCTTTTAATTGAATTAATTGTTATTAGCTGGAAAAAATTCGTATCATTCGCAATACAAACAATTAGTTACTAAAGTTCATACAAAAAACGAATTAGACCGCTTGCAGTATACCCCTTAAAAAGTTTGTTTCTGAAAACTTCTATGTACTTTATTTTTTTTAAATTAAAAACCCGTAACTATGGTTAACGTCAATAACCTTTTGTTAATTTAATTATTACAACATATTATAAAGTTAGTTAAAGATCAGTCCACCTATAAAAAACTGAAAACTTTGCTGTTACCAATTGCTGTTTTAATACCATGCCCGATATAAATTTCACATTTACAAAGTGTTCATAGAAATATATTTTGCTTTGTAATACCTAGAAACTATGGAAGGCTCCAACTGCAGCTGCACATGGCTGCAGTGACGGCACACACAGATTAGGTCATGGTATGTGTTCCTCCCTTCCTGAATTGCAGCTCCCCTCGGCAAAGTGAGCCTGTGGCATATGTCTGGGCAACTCATCAGGCGGCAAGGGCGCGTGCCATTTTGTCTCCAATCTTTTTGGAGTGTTTATTTTTAGTCCGCCGAATGGGGATCGCAAGCTGTTAGTTCCAGCAGGCCTTTAGATTGGGGAGAATGTGGAGAGTTTATTTTTGGGGCCTGGTATTCCTTTAGCTGGGGTGTGTTGAAAATAGACATAAACAAAAGTTGCAGCCAGGGAGCTAGGGAGTGTCGGTGATCCCATTCCTCATCCCCAGGCCAACATCAAATGTCACCCTCTAGAGAACTGATTCCACATCCCCACCCGTGTTTTGGGGTAATTATAGAGCAGCTGCACGTTCGAATCCGAGTGCATAACTGAAATCCGCTTGGAGCCCGAGTCAATGATTGTGGGTATTTATAGTCGTGGCGCGTTGTTTATGAGGGGGAAGTGTGCGCCACAGATGTCTGATATCCACCGGATGTGGATGTCGTTGCGAGTGTGTACATCACAATGCAGTCCAAGGAGCAGCCTGACTGCAGCTATTTAGATTTCCCAACTCACATCACATCACTTCCAACTTTGTTTCATTGCTTACGCAACAGACGACGGAGAAGGTCACGTTGGAACGGTTTGCGAAATCGGACGTTGCGGATCGACACACTCGCCGGAAAACACTGTCGTGGTCAACTGGGATTCCGGACACAGGACAAACTACCGTGTGGGCTACCAGAACCAGTACGACTTGATTATTGTAGATAATGCTCAAGTTGGTAAGTGACAATCTGTTTTTAAAATTCTAAGTTTCGGAACTTTATACCATTTAAAATTTTTCTCTTTAAATTACCAATAATATTATAATTATTTCTTTGCAGGAGTTCGTCACTCGAATGTCGTCTGCGATGGCTGCTCCAAGGCGGGCATTGCCGGCATAGTATTTAAGTGCGCCCAGTGTGCCAACTACCATCTGTGCGCCTACTGCTACGCAGAGGAACTGCACGACTTGGAGCACCCGTTCGTGCGGTACACCACGCCCAATTCCCTCGGCGTTCGAGTGCCAACGAGAAAAGGCTCCAAGCGGATTCAGCTGCGCGGCATTTTCGTGGGTGCCAAGGTGGTGCGAGGTCCTGATTGGGAGTGGAACGAACAGGACGGCGGCGAGGGCAAGACGGGGCGGGTTATGGAAATCCGGGGCTGGGACAACGAATCGTGTCGCAGCGTAGCAAACGTATCGTGGGTAACCGGATCGACGAACGTCTACCGTCTTGGTCACAAGGGCAACGTGGATCTTAAGTACATAACGGCTACGTGTGGCGGTCACTACTACAAGGATCATATGCCAGTGTTGGGGCAGCCGGAGGAGTTGCAACCGGTGGCACCGATGGTGAAGCCAAGCTTTTCCGTCGGCGACCGCGTCAAGGTTTGCCTAGAGGTCGATGCCCTGATGAAGTTGCAGCAGGGCCATGGAGGATGGAATCCGCGCATGGTCGAGCATTTATCCAAACTGGGCACCGTGCATCGCATTACGGACAAGGGCGATATACGGTATGTGTCAGACTTTAAATTTTATAATTCATTCTAACTCATTTCAAATTCCTTTAGTGTCCAGTATGAAAACTGCCCCAATCGATGGACCTTTCATCCCGCCGCTCTCGTAAAGGTTGTCTCTTTTCGTGTCGGTGATCTGGTCACCATTATCAACGATGCCAACAAAGTGCAGCAGCTTCAGAAGGGCCACGGCGAATGGATTGAAATTATGCGATATGTAAGCTGAGATTTAAAGTATTTAAAACTTTAGCTAAAATTGTAATTCAACTTTCAGGCCCTCGGCAAAATTTGCAAGGTGGTAAAGGTGTACTCCGACGGAGACCTGCGCATCCAGCAGCTGGACGACGGCTTCGAGTGGACGCTGAATCCGAAGTGTGTCAAACTGGAACGTTCGCCGCTGGCTACGGCAGCTGAGCGCTCGAACAGCATGATGGACCTGAGCCATCGGCGGGCGGATCACGTAATGACGCCGCTTTCAGGACTGTCGGGCAGTTCGGTAGCCGACAAGCTGGTGCGCGAGGCCGCCCAGGGCCATTTGGACTTTGTGCGCCAGTACCTGGACGTGAATCCCGGCCAAGTGGACGTGATGAGTGGCGGCAAGGCTTGCATTCAGGTTGCCTCGCATCAGGGCTATGTTGACCTGGTCAGCTACCTCATCTCCAAGGGTGCCAATGTTAACGCGGTCGACAAGGAGGGCGATTCCGCTCTGCATTACGCAGCCTTCGGCAATCAGCCGGCCACCATGCGTGTGCTTCTGCAGCACGGCGCCGAAGTGAACTTTCTCAACTCTAGCCACTGCTCCGCACTGCACATCTGCGCGCACAAGAAAACACCGCACTGCGTTCGCGAGTTGCTGCAGCACAATGCCAACGTGAATATCCAGGATTCGTACGGTGATACGGCGCTGCACGACGCCATCGGCAAGGAGAACACCGAGGTGGTGGAGTTGCTTTGCAATGCTCCCAATCTGGACTTTACGGTTAAGAATAATCGTGGCTTCAACGTGCTCCATCATGCTGCGCTCAAGGGCAACGTGGTGGCTGCCCGCCGCATTTTGCTGCTCTCCCGCCAGCTGGTCAATGTGCGCAAGGACGACGGTTTTGCAGCCCTACACTTGGCGGCTCTTAACGGACACGCCCAGGTGGTGGAAACGCTGGTCACCGAGGGCCAAGCGGAGCTAGATATACGCAACAATCGTCGACAGACGCCGTTTCTACTGGCCGTCTCTCAGGGACATGCCGGCGTAATCGAGCGACTCGTGCGACTATCCTGCGACGTTAATGCCAAGGACGAGGATGGAGACAATGCCATGCACCTGTGCGTAATTAAAAAGTCGAATCTACAGTCAGCCGCTGAACCGCACCCAGAGGAGGCACCCGAGATCCACAAGTTCTACCTGAGTCTAGTGCAGACGAGTGTGCGGCCCGAGGATCGACTCATGTACAGCATTCTAATCTATCTTTCACGGGCCGGCTGCCGAGTAGAACTGAACAATGCCAATGCGAGTATTTTCGAATGGATTACTGACCGCAACATCAGACAGTTGATCTTTGGGCAGCAGGGCGAAGCGGAGGCGCTCCCCAGGAACCTCCAAGCTCTGGAAATGTCACCGCCGGCTGCCTCTGGCGAAGAAGCGCCCGCTGTTGCTGGAGCCGAATCAAATGGAGCTGCACCCGCGAGCGTGGCGGCACCAGTACCACCGCAGCGCCAGCAACTAGATCTAATGCCAAAGCCAAACGAAATACCATCCGCATCAGCAGCGCCATCCACGCCATCAGCCTCACCGGGCGTTAAGAAACTCAACTCGGATGCCGTGCAGCAGAACGTCTCGCCGCAGGTGGCGCCTCGCAAGAAGGCACCCAAGCCGCCAGTGACCTCCACTTCGAGCAGCCCGGCGTTGGAAGCCGGGGCGGCGGCGGCTGCGGGTCCCAGTGCTAGTCCGGTGATCGTGTCCGGTCCTCAAGAGTGCATTGTGTGCAATGAGATCCTGCAGCTGGTGAGGTTTGAGCCATGTCAGCACCAGATCGCTTGTGAAGAATGTGGCATCAGAATGAAAAAGTGTCTGCGCTGCGGTGTGCTTATTGAAAGACGCCTGACTGTCAGCGGGCGGATAGTGGCCCTGCCCACGTCCACGTCGTCACCCAGTGACCCCACTCGCCTGCCGTCCGGGGATCTTCTGCGCTATCTGGAGAACAAGGTGCAGGAGTTCGAGGAGTCGCACTTCTGTGGCATCTGTATGGAACGCAAGCGGGACGTGGCCTTCCTCTGTGGGCACGGAGCCTGCTCCCATTGTGCCGAAACGTTGCGGACATGCCACATGTGTCGCAAGACAATACTCAAGAAGATTAACCTGTATTGAGCGGAGGAAACGGAAACGATAGCAGCATCAGCAACAATTCAACCAGCAACCAAAGTGGCTTGTATATATTACATACAAAAAAAAAACAAACACTAAAAACACACACACATACCCACATTGCCGTACCATGTGCAACTCGAACTAATTATTTATTGATCACCGACGAATTTTACGCGTTTTTTTTGTAACGGTTTATTAACGGCATCGTATACATAAACAAATTATTGTGCACCCTTCACGTGTCTAGTTATTAGCCTCGTTTAACCGCGTCTGGTAACGATAAAAATAAATAGGAAACAAACTAAAAGCGTAAAGATATTAAATAGTCATTAAATTGCAAATATACAAATATCAAATAATTAAATTGGGTGTTGTTTTATTTATTGAGGGTGTGGGCCACGTTACAAGAAATAATGAAGGCTACCATTTTGTTCAGCTAATTAACTCAGTTGGAATATTTTTATTATGGACTACTGCAGCAAAGTGTGAACGACTTAATTTTGATAGTGCAAACAACGCTTAGTTTTATTTGTTTACCCAATTTTGCAAATGTTTACCTAACTAGCATTGCCGTACCTCAAGGTCGGTTTGCAGAGAAATTTGAACAAAGAGCCAAAGGTAAACAAATCATATACCCCAAGCGTTAAATTTTATTTTTTGTAGAACACAATCGATAGCTGACGCATCTCTCGGTCATCGATAACTACGTAGCAAGAAAAAAAGCAAACACGTCACAACACTTTAGCCACAGTTGCACGCGTAAATAGAGATTAGAAAAAAATGGCCAAACAAGTGGCCGATTTTCAGGCCAGCAAGCTCCAGTTCTACCAGAAGCTGGCCCTTGGCATTATCCTTGGAGGCGTGCTCCTTTCCCTGCCGTCGTTATGTGCCGGCCAGGGCAATCCCAGTTTCAAATACTCGCGGGAAGCCAACGAAAACTTTGATCCACAGAAGGCTCCGCGGGCAGAGCACCATCATCACCATGATCATGATCATGACCACGATCATGAACATCATCATCACGGGCACGATCATCACCACGACCACGATCACGATCATGGGCATCATCATCACGGCCACGATCATGGACACCATCATCAAGAGAGTCATATCAAGGCAAAGCCGGCATTGGGTAAGTTAGCCCCCCAAATATCAAATGAACCAACTTAACCCAATTTCTTATAGATATGAGCACCATTTGGTTGCACTCTATTGGATCTACTCTCCTTATCAGTGCAGCGCCATTCGTGCTTCTCTACATCATTCCCCTCGATAACAGTGAGGCGATGAAGCCGCGTCTTAAAGTGCTGCTCGCCTTTGCATCTGGCGGTTTGCTTGGCGATGCCTTTCTTCACTTAATTCCTCACGCCACGCATCCTCACAGTCATGGAGAGCATGACCACGACCATGGCCACCATCATGATCATCACGAAGGCGAAGAACACGAACATGGACATAGCCATGATATGAGTATTGGCCTGTGGGTTCTCGGTGGAATTATTGCCTTCCTGTCGGTTGAGAAACTAGTGCGCATTTTAAAAGGTGGCGGTGGAGGTCATGGCCACAGCCATGGAGCACCGAAACCCAAGCCTGTGGCTCCAAAAAAGAAGTCATCTGACAAAGAAGACAGCGGAGATGGAGACAAACCCGATAAGCAAGCCAAGAAAACCAAGCCTAAGCAACAAGAAGCTGAACCGGAGGGCGAAGTGGAGATATCCGGTTACCTAAACCTTGCTGCTGACTTTGCTCACAATTTCACTGACGGTCTGGCCATCGGTGCATCCTATTTGGCGGGCAACAGTATTGGCATTGTGACCACTGTTACTATCTTGCTGCACGAAGTTCCCCACGAGATTGGCGACTTTGCCATCCTTATCAAATCGGGCTGTTCGAGACGCAAGGCAATGCTGCTGCAGCTGGTCACGGCACTCGGAGCTCTGGCGGGCACAGCGCTGGCCCTTTTGGGAGCCGGAAGCGGAGACGGATCGGCGCCCTGGGTTCTGCCCTTCACCGCTGGCGGTTTCATTTATATTGCAACGGTGAGCGTGCTGCCGGAGCTGCTAGAGGAGTCCACCAAGCTAAAACAGTCGCTTAAAGAAATCTTTGCACTGCTTACTGGCGTTGCCCTGATGATTGTAATAGCGAAATTTGAGTAGTGTAAAGAGTTATGTGCCTTCCCATTCCCTTCTCAAAGAAGGTACCAAACTCTTTAAAACTGATAGATTTTAAAACTGGATTTTAAAATCAAAGCGATTTCTCCTTATACTCGAGGCAGCGATATTTTTAAGCCTTCAAAATTTGCGCTTTACTTCGAAATCAAATTTGTATAAATAGTCAAAAAAAATACACTGTAAAAGAGACCTCACTAACGCTTATCCCCATTAAGGGTCGTCTTGATTTCATTAAGGCAATACTCGGCCTGCTCGATGGCATCGGGATTCTTGTGCTGTTTGCCCAGTTTCCACGCCAGACGGCAGGCGTTCTCTGCTTGCATCATTAGGCCTTCGCGCAGATACACCAGACCCAGATTGGCCTGCAAAATGCCCTCTTGTGTGGCATCCTTTAACTCTTTGGCCAGTTCCATTGCCTCCAGAAGGGTCTCTCTGGCCTCAGTGTACTTCTCTAGCTATAGTAAAACTAAGTAATTGAATGGATTATAAAAGAAATTTGTACACTTACGTTCACATACGCCACACTAATGTTATTGAGAATGGTTATAGAGGCGTCATTTACGGCGCCGTAAACATCGATGAGCGTGTCGAAAGCTTCCTTGAAAAGGTTTTTGGCTTCTAGGTATTTGCCCTGCTTCATCAGCAGCTGTCCAAACCTGAAAAAGTATGTACATAAACATACAGTGACCTAACTGCAACTGGAATTTCGATAGTAGCGGCAATGGAAACACCTTCAATACCAATTCTTTGTCAAGCCGTACAGTTCCAGTATGTCCTTATCGTCAGGCATTTTTTCCAGAAGTTTGGCCAACTGCTGTAGTGTCCACGTAAAGCCCTGGAAGCTCTTCTCTAGATCACCCTGCAGCTGGGACATATGCGCTATCTTGGAGCTGATGTGAAGTATCTATAAAATATGAAAGAAATCTTAACTGTAGAAGAAATTGAAGTGGATCTCCTACCTTGGGGCTTTCTTCCGTGTGACCATCGGCAAAAAGTCGTTTCATCACGTCCGTAAATATCTTCTCAGCCTTCTTGAACTGCTCACGTTCCATGGCCAGGTTGGCCATTATGTCGAAGACATATGTGATGCCGTCTTTGCTCTGTATATCCTGGGCCATTCGCAGGGCTAGGTGAAGCATCTGCTCGGCCTTGTCGTACTGTTCCCGCTGAATGCAGAGGATTGATCGCTTGATGGTCTTAACCAACTTGTCCTCGGGGGTCTCCTCTTTCTCTTCGCCGCCTCCAAACAGATTAAAAGTAAAGGCAGCAGAAAATGCCCAAAACATTCCATTAGAAGAGTTAGAAGCTGGAGGAACTGCCCAAGCAACCTGGTGATCGGCCGCGTAGACGACAAGCGATCCAAATCCTGAGCCTTTGCTGCTTCTCTTCAGCGGCGCTGATTGACAGTATTCCCTGGCATTTGGGACAAGCCGAAGCCTGCCCATCACTTGGGTCAATTTGCAAAAATTTCTCACAATCATATTGGTATTGTTTAATTCATATTTTTGCCGTAAACTATTCTATCAGGTGTTTTTAGAAAATTTATAATTATGAAATGCATCGCAGTGTTGCAAAACGCCGTATAAGGGTTTTGAAACTGCATTTTGTAGCGCTCGACATTGTCTATTAATAAAACATAAATTGTTGAATTTTAAGGTCCTCGTACTAAAAATAATATTCAATTTTAAGTTGATTTGAACACTGTTTTTTATTACATATCGATTGGAAGAAAAAATTACTTGGAAAAATTGGTGAATTTGTTCGAGAAAAGCTAAAGGAAGATCATTAAGAAAAGCTTTTGAAGGTAATCAAAATTCTATAAATGGTTGTTTTAACTTATGGTTTTTAATTTTTTTATTTTGAAATCCGCTATTCTTAGCCGATATTTATGTGGAAATTGTATCGATAGCCGTTCCTCTAGCGATAGGCCGGCCCCCTCCACTTGGTTCGAAGCAACCCTGCATATTGATGGCGGATTGACGCTCTTTTGCTGACAAAATAAATTTTCTTAAATCGCGAAAAGGTGCATGAACGGAGGAAAAGTGAATTCGAATAGCAGTGGACGCATAAGCCGTGGGTCCGACGGCGTTACCATCGTTTTATTTCAGATATTTGCAGTGCCCCAACCGTTTTTCCGCCAGCCATGAGACGGCGCAGCGATCGAAAAAAGTCGTCGTCGCCCGCTCCGGTGCCGGTGGCACGCCGAAGTCGCCGCTCCCGCAAGGTGTCCGAAAACGAGAAGGTCGAGGAAGAAGCACCAGCCAACCAGAAGGATAATGCGAACTCCGGGGATGTCCCAGAAGTGCCGCAGGCCCCAGTCGAAGTCACCGAGCAACGAGCCTCCAGCGAGGAACGTGCCGGATCCGGATCATCGCCAGTGCGCAAGAGTCGCGGCGTCCGGGCGACGCCCAAAAAAGCGTGCTGAGGCCAAGGGCGGCGACAAGAAAGTGGACACTATCCCCGAGGAGGAGCCCGAGAACGGCCAGGTTGCAGACAAGAACAGCGTGGAGGAGGAAAGGGCTGTAGAGCCGCCATCGGTTCAGGAGAGCGTGCCGGAAGAGCTTGCCAAAGAGGATCAAATTGAGAAAACCCAGCCAGATCCGAAGGACGAGAATGCTGAGAAGGAGGACGAAAAACCACAGCAGGATGTCCATGATGACAGCAGCGGCAAGCAGAGCGAGCCAGTTCAAGAGGTAAAGGTTCCTTCTCCTTCCAGCAAGGATGAGGAACATCTAAAAACGTCTAGCGATGTATTAGACATTCAGACAGAAGAGGTCGAGGAAAGGGACGAAGAAGGCTCTGCTCCTGCGGAACGCAAGGAGTCCAAGAAGAAACACAAGGAGCAGAAACAGGAATTGCAGGCCGCGGAGGAAGAGGAGCAAAAGGAGAACCGCAAACAGCAACAGGAAAAGCCAGAAAAAACTCAGGACGAACCAGCTGATCTTCCGAACGACAAGCACGAGACATCCGTAAACAGCAGCGCAAACAACACAGCCAGCGCTCCAGTGCTTCAGCAGCAGCGATCGGTGCGGAAGCGCAGGTGGCTTACTAATAAAAAGTCCTCGGATCGCGCGCCACCAGTGTTGGCCATTTCAACGGATTCCCTAAAAAACATAATTGCCGATGTGGTGCAACCGGTTCCCCTCAGCGATGTGCAACTGGAATCCTCGTCGGAGGAGGAGGGTCTGGTCACCAGCGATCGCGACTCCGAGCGATCGGGTTCGCCGGTGCCCGCCTCCGAGCCGCGAAAGGATCGCGACACCGAGGCCACTACCATCACCACCTGCGAGACCGGCGCAGAGGCGACTGCAAACAAGGAGAGTGCAGGAACTGCAGGAGCCACTGGTCGAACATCTCCGCCACCTTCCACAGACACGGTGCCGGCTCAGGGAGGCTTGAGCAAAGCCACAGCCGCCACGGCCGCACCCCATATAGTCCGATCCCCTAGTCCTGCGCGCAATCGCGCCAGCCATGTGCTATACATCACCAATCTGGTGCGCCCCTTCACAGTCCTGCAGCTGAAAGGACTTCTGGCGAGGACGGGAAAGATCGTGGAGGAAGACGGTTTCTGGATTGATCGCATCAAGTCTAAGTGCTTCGTTGCCTACTCCACTGAAGAGTGAGTATCGTAGTTTTGCATTGCGTTTAAATTTTAAAGCCGATCAACATGAGCTGACCAATGTTTTTTTTTTTTTTTCAAGAACAAAAACTTAGTTATTGAAAATTGCATATTTGCTTTACTCTTTCTTGTAGCGAGGCCATTGAAACCCGCCATGCCCTGCACGGAGTTCGCTGGCCAGTCTCAAATCCCAAATGTTTAAATGTCGACTTCGGTAGTCGCACAGACATGGATCGCGCGATACAATCAACGAAGGACGAGGCTCCCAGATATGGCCAGGAAAACACCAGAGACAACCAGCAGGCGGGCAACGCTTGGTCGCGATTGGAACCATCAGACAAGAAGGTAATAGATTATTGTCATAGCAACATAGCAGGTCACCTAATTTGCCTTTTGTTTGCTTAGCCTGTGCGCCCTGTACGTGAATGGGATGTGGGTAAAAAGGAGCCTAGCGACCACGACAAGCCCAGCAACGACCGACGACGTGGGAGCAAGGATCGACTGGACTCGAGATCTCGGGACGCGGATCGAGCTGGACAGGATCGCAAACGCTCCAGGGACAGAGAGGGGCGAGGACGCGAGCGGGAGCGAGATCGCAATGCACACGCAAGAAGCCGCAGTGGATCGCCAGGTAAGTTTTTAAGGGAAAATAAGATTCTGGTGAAAAATTTGATATTATAATTTCGATTAAAACAGTGGCCAAAACTAAACGGAAGGAGAATGAGCCGCCTATCAGGCTATTGGATGATCTTTTTCGTAAGACTAAGGCAACGCCGTGTATTTACTGGTTGCCACTGACGCCGGAAGCGGTATGTTACTTTGGTTTATGATATCTAGACACTACTTAAACACAATCGCAATACCTTTAGATCGCAGAAAAGGAGGCATTTCGTCAGAAACGCATCGAGGAGCATAAGCAGCGCGTCAAGGAGCGGGAGGAGCGTCAAAAAGAGCGTGAGAAGGATCGAGACCGCCAGCGCGAAACGCGCCGCAATCGTTCCAATGAACGGCGACGATCGCGCAGTCGCGAGCGGGAGCGACGACGTTACTAGGCGGAGGCTTGAAATTGAGCAAATAAACGTTGAAAATATCTCAATTACTGGCATCAACACCCAAAAAGAAAATCCGAAAATGATAAAACAGCAACTAAAACTTCTGCAGGGTCTCAACAACCACCCGAATTTTTTCTATTTCTTCGAGCGTTTTGCGTTCCCAAAAATATAAAGACGTTGTAATATTCAACTTGAAGTGATTGTACTTCGATTTGAATATTCCCACCATCGTCTTATCTATATTCTTAATTTGAGATTTAAATTCTCTTTTCTCAGTTATTTTTCTCATTGTTGTTGTTCCATATATAGCGCATATATATTTCCATATATATATATATATAACCTGATTTGATTTCTTTCCTCAAATGTAGCATTTTACAGCGCCTAACGTCACCTCACCCCAAAAAACAACCACAGCAACGCCGGCATCCAGCATCAACGCAATGGAAACTTAGCGTCGGAATCTAGAAACTCTTGCAGCAAGTTACCATGCTTACATCTATATACATATTAAACAAACAGAAAATAATTGATTGATTAATTGTAAAATCAATTTTTCTTAAAATTTTAATGAAACTAGAAATACAATTTAACAACAGTCGGCAAGCTTGTGACTATGCCAAAACCATAAAAGTGTTTTAAATGTCTGAGAAATAAACTATAATTCTGATCGACTCATTAAATCGTGTGGTTATTTTCACATAATAAGTGTTCCATTATTTCAAGTTCTCCGATTTTTGATTAATTTTTTTCCCTTTTAAAATGAGCTTAACATGTTCCAAAGCCGCGGTATTGATATTGTTATTTAATAACGTATCGATAGTTTATCGAAAGCGATTATGAAAGTGTCACTTATGATATCGATAAGTTTTAATTTTTTATTAACATTAATTTAGCGAAAAAATGTGGTCCGACACTATATTAATTGTATTTATATCTGTCTGCACCGCTTTCCTGGGCGAAGGTGAGTTAAAACCAAGTCAGATTAGATAAAATAACCCTTTGAGAACTTCAGGTCTCACCTGGGTGCTGGTCTACCGGACGGAAAAGTACCAAAAGCTGAAGACCGAGGTGGAAAAGCAGAGCAAAAAGCGTAAGTTGGACAATGGGTCAGTGGTCACGGGGTAATCCGAATTTTCTTGCAGTGGAGCGTCGTAAGGAGATCCATGGCGATTCTCTTGACAAGGCTGTGAAGAAGAAAATCGAAAGGGACGAGGAGAAACTGAAAAACAACAACCGCGACCTTTCGTTGGTCAAAATGAAGTCCATGTTCGCGACAGGATTTGCCTTTACTGCTCTGTTGAGCATGTTCAACAGCATCTTTGATGGAAGGGTCGTTGCCCAGTTGCCCTTCACGCCCATCTCCTGGATACAAGGACTGAGTCATCGGAATTTATCCGGCGATGACTACACAGACTGTTCCTTTATCTTCCTGTACATCCTGTGTACCATGTCCATTCGCCAAAACATCCAGAAACTCTTGGGCTTTGCTCCATCACGCGCAGCCAGCAAACAAGGAGTGGGTCTCTTTGGTCCCGCTCCCGGCCAGTTCAAATAGTAAATTCACACATTAAAGTAGTTGCATTTAGTCAATAATGCACCATCAACAATCTTAGCTTAAAACATTATTTAACTCGTACATGGGTTGGTCCACAATAAGCCTGTCGAAACTCAGGCGCGAGAGGTCAATGGTCCGAAATTGGCCGTCCATGATCAGCTCGGAAACAGCACGTCCTACGGCCAAGGATTGCTGGACTCCATGCCCACTAAATCCGGTGGCTATATACAAATTGTGGTAGTAAGGATGGGGTCCAATAATGCCATTTTCATTGTAAACATTCTGATCATAGCTGCCCGCCCAGCTGTCCACCAGTTGAGCTTCCCCGAGAGAGGGAACTCGCTCGGCCAGCTTGGGTCTGATGTGCTGGTCAAAGTATTGCGAGTCCACCTCTTGGCCATGGCTTTCCTCCGTCGAATCCTGTCCGCAAATGTAGTTTCCACCAAGACCATCTCTACGGATAAAAATGCCAGAGGGATCCATGGTCATGGGCATTGTCATTCCCGGTGCACTTTGGGCCTGTGAGCTGATGGCGTACATGTACCTCTTACGAGCGTCGATGGGCAGGGGAATCCGCAACATTCCTGGACCTACACCTATCCTCGCCAATCTTGCCACCTGACCGGAATTTGTGCCAGCAGCTATTACACAAAGCGCAAACTTGCACGTGCGTAATGTTCCGTCGGGTAGCTGGATGACAGCCTTATTCAATCCCGTGTAGTTAGCCTCGTTGGAGCCGGCATGCCCGACAACAGATATGTCCGTCTGGGGCACGAATTCAAAATCCACCACTCGTCCACTGACAAAATGACCGCCATAACCGCTAGCAGAGCGCCGAAGGTTACTAAGCAGGGCCAAGGGGTTGAACCAGCCCTCTTTCTCTAGCCCAAGGCAACCTAAAACAATGCCTTTAGTATTTAGCCAGGGAAAACGAGCCTCCAATCGATCCGCCGTTAGCAGTTCGTTGCGGGCACCAAATTCGTTTTGTAGCTGGGAGGAGCGCATTAGGCTCTCAGCATGCTCTTCCCCAGCGAGCATCAGGTGACCATGGGGTGTAAAGTGAAGCGGGACATCTTGCCCGAAGTGCTGATTAGCACCTCGCAAGAACTCGGCGGCAAAGAGCGACATCTGGATGTTTTCGGGTAGGGAGAATTGTTGGCAAAGACCGCCCACGGAAACACGAGTGGCGGACTGAGCGTACTGTAAACACAAGGCAGAATAGAGCCAAATTCGGGGCACTGGTTATCTGAAATCTTCTCACCGTATCATCCTTTTCAACCACCACCACATTAAGGCCGTCGCGAGCCTTCTCCTTCAGCCAGTAGGCAATGGAGCTACCTACTGCACCTCCGCCAATAATGAGCACATCGCAGTGGGTCTGAAAATCATCTGCCAGCGTGGGATCTCTTTCCCTCTCTCCGGTAAACTTAAACTTGCTCTGGGTGGGGATGCGTTCCTGTTCAGGCTCCGGATCTTTGGGTACAAAGAACTCCTTAACTTTGCGCATATCGTTCCCAAGCAAACGAAGGGTTCGTCGTATTGGGTGCGAGTCTTCTTCGCCGGATTTGTCGCCACCAGGGGATCCACTGTTTGCAGCTCCTGAGGAGTAAGATCTCCGTTGCAGGAGCCGGATCACATGTCTATACCGCAACATTGTAGCCTCTGTCTCCTATATATTAATTCATGTTAAGGGAAATATTTGTATTTTGTAATACCCTGTGATAATGTGCAAAAGAGGGCCTCGAATAACATCGATATATCGATAAAGGCATCGAAATTTGCATACCGGCATTTAAATAAATTTTAAATCTGTAAAAATGCTTGTAATTCAAAAACTATTTAAAAATAAAAACAATGCATCGATGTAATTGAATACCTTTCTTTTATCAAATATTAAACAGTCTTAAAAATTTAAAATGTTAAATATGTAATTTAAAACTGGAAAGGTTTATGCAGTTTACTATGGCTCGATGTAATTACCAACAACCGATAATGTTATGGAGCTGTTAAGCAGTAGCACTTTTCAACACTGTCTGTCAAGCCGAAACCGAAGAAGAGGAAGCAACATTACTAGGCATTTTTGATTTGGAATTGAGAAAAAAACAAAAGAAAACTCAACCGTAATTGTGACATTAGCAAATTAAGAGTTCTGCAACATGACCAACGCAACGGACATCGGTACCCATGACGTAGAGATGGAGGTGGATCCCACGGCCGAGACGCTAGCAGATGAGAAGAAGAACCAAGATGTGGCCGCAGTCCAGGAGATTCGCGAGCAGATTCGCCAGATCGAGAAGGGAGTGGCCTCCAAGGAATCGCGGTAGGTGATACGAGTTAGTTGACCCGCACAAAAATACAGTTTTCTTTGGTCCTCCACAGATTTATCCTGCGCGTGCTTCGGAATTTGCCCAACACCCGTCGCAAATTGAATGGTGTCGTCTTCCGGAATCTTGCCCAGAGTATTTATCCGGTTGGCGCGGATCGTGAGGCCGCAGTGGCCTTAATGCCCGCTGTTGAGAAGGATGCCACCGAACTGCCTGATGTGCCCAAAAAGCAAGTTGCCACCAAGGCGCCGATTGCCGAAGTGGATGCCTACTTTTATCTTCTTTTGCTGGTCAAATTGATTGACGCCAGCGATTTGAAGCGTGCTGGAACCTGCGCGGACGCCTTGATGGCAAAAATCTCCATCCAGAACCGCCGCACCCTTGATCTGATTGGAGCCAAGTCCTACTTCTACTTCTCTCGCGTCGCCGAGTTGAAAAACTCATTGGAGGGCATCCGGGCCTTCCTTCACGCTCGTCTACGTACCGCCACGCTGCGTAACGATTTTGAGGGCCAGGCTGTGCTTATCAATTGCCTCCTGCGCAACTATTTGCATTATGCCCTGTACGATCAGGCCGACAAGCTAGTGAAGAAGTCAGTGTACCCGGAATCAGCCAGCAACAATGAGTGGGCGCGCTTCCTTTACTATTTGGGTCGCATCAAGGCTGCCAAACTAGAGTACAGCGATGCCCACAAGCATCTGGTCCAGGCACTGCGAAAATCTCCGCAGCATGCGGCCATCGGTTTCCGCCAGACGGTGCAAAAGCTGATTATCGTAGTTGAGCTCCTGCTGGGCAACATTCCGGAACGTGTGGTGTTTCGGCAGGCAGGTCTGCGCCAATCCCTGGGTGCCTATTTCCAGCTCACGCAGGCCGTGCGTCTGGGCAATCTTAAGAGGTTCGGAGACGTGGTCTCCCAATACGGTCCCAAGTTCCAGCTGGATCACACCTTTACGCTGATCATCAGGCTGCGCCACAATGTGATCAAGACGGCCATCCGTTCCATTGGACTGTCGTACTCGCGCATCTCGCCGCAGGACATTGCCAAGCGTTTAATGCTTGACTCCGCCGAGGATGCGGAGTTTATCGTATCGAAGGCCATACGAGATGGAGTGATTGAAGCCACGCTAGACCCGGCACAAAACTACATGCGCAGCAAGGAGAGCACCGATATCTACAGCACCAGGGAGCCGCAATTAGCCTTCCACGAGCGCATTTCGTTCTGCCTGAACCTGCACAACCAGAGCGTCAAGGCTATGCGCTACCCACCAAAGTCCTATGGCAAGGACCTGGAGAGTGCCGAGGAGAGGCGGGAACGGGAGCAACAGGACCTCGAGCTAGCCAAGGAGATGGCCGAGGACGATGAGGACGGTTTCTAAACGGCTGCTGCAGCAAACTAATTTGTACTTGCATTCATTTTTCATAGAAACGTAATCCGCAATTAAATAAGATACAAAATTAAAAGAAAAATTACCCAGAGAGAAAAGGTTTTGAAAAATATTTCGTTTATTATATTTCAATTTTTTAATTTAATTCGTTCGAAAAAGTCTAATAATAGCGGTTAATTTTAATAACTATAATGATCTTGCTCAAATATCATTTAGAAATATAAAATAATTTTTTTACCAACCTCAGCTAATTAAACTATTTGGTGTTAAAACAAGTTTTTTTTCCGAGGAATATTTTGGAAAACTATATTCGCGGTCACACTGGCGCAAACAACACAAACAGCAGCCACGGTCACACCGAGCCAAAGTGGAAGGGAAATAGAAAATTTGACTTGACAAAAAGTGCACACAATGCAAATAAAATAGAGTGCGTGCACGCATTAAATGCCCAAATCCGCGAGGCCGTTACGCCGACGTAGCAATAATTGTCGCCAAAAGCCAGAGCGCGCGTGTTTGCGAAGTATATCGCGGAAATTGAAGATTTTTTGGCAGCGGCGAGTAGTCTCCCCCCACCCCGTCCGAATAACAGCGGCCGAAAGAGCGAGTGTTTTGCGAAGCAGCGAGTGCCTGGCCAATGTGGTGCAGCTCCCCCGTCGACCGCCGCCACCCGCGCTCCCCCTTCGACCCTATTAACGCGCAAAATATACGCCACTAGTTGTAGTTGTGGGCAGTAGTAGCAGCAGCAGCAGCCGATCAGCTCGGCCTTTGTGCAGCAGATTAGTGGCGAAAAAGGCCAACGAAAAGCCCCGGTTAGCTGGGCCGGTATCCAGGAGCGAACACCAGACAGCCATCGGCGACTCCGGCTGTGATGCAGCAGCAGCTGCTGCCAGCTAACGAGATTCTGGACGCCTTTTGCACCCACCACACGTAACTAGAGCACCCACACACACAAGGGAGCGCACATACACAAGGGCGCGCGCACACACACATACACAGCCAACAGGCAAACGGGCACACTAGCGTGTGGCCATTGATGCAGTGCAGCCGCTTGCACGGATTCGGGATCGGAAGGTGAAAAGGACTGTGCTGAGATGATTTGCAAACAGGACGTACTGCTGTGGTTTGAGAAACTCGAGAGCTACAATCGGATCGAAACGATGTACGCCCTGCTCACCGCCTGCCTGCCATTCGAGCTCCGCTTCTTGGGCACGCTGCTGGAGGAGCAGGGCCGTTGCGACTCGGAGACGCTGCGCGGCATGGAGTTGCGGGCAAATAATCCACAAGAGCTGGCCGCCGATATGGTCAACTGCCAGAAGGGCGACCCCACCGACCGGAAGATCCGACGCAAGATGGCCCTGTATCTGGCGCTGATCCGCGCCTGTAACCGCAACTGTGTCAGTGAGATCTATCGGACGCTGGAATGCTGGGGAGAGTGCGACTTTGGCTGTATCAACGACCAGGACACACTGTTGGAGCTCCTACTTGTCTACACGATGGCGGCTATTCACCCAGTGTTCTCCATGGAAGAGCAGAAAAAAATCTTCGGTATTCTAGCCAAGATCAAGGAAAATAAGCTGGTAGCTGAGCGATTTACGCCGCAGATGCAGGCGCAGACGCCGACGCCAGCACCCCAGCATCCACACCCGCCGTCCCCACATGACCTGATCCTCCAACAGCAACCGCCACATGTGATCCACCAAATACCAGGGCCACAACAGCCACCACCACACCCACAACATCCCCAAATGGTGCAGGTGTTGCAGACGCCGCAGGGCAACATCCCCATGATATTTCCCCAGCATTTTTCCAAGGTGAGTTACGCTCGGTCATTAACCTAAGAGAAGTTAATAAATAATGTGGTTCTCCTTCAGCTAATGCCCGGTTCTGATGGAACGCACCAGATCAGTGTCGAAGGCATGCCGCATCTGATGCAGCCAAACATCACCATTCCAGGGGACACGAGTGCCATTATCGGTCACCAAAGCACGGGGTGGACGATGCGCCACTACGTGCCACAACCGCCCCACCAACAGCCCGCTCTGCAGCAGCAGCAGCCGCAGAGTCTGGACCATCAAGTGCCACCGGCTAGCTCGCCTATGCTTAGCCAGCAGTCCTCGCCCTCGAGCAGCCGCACCACAAGTCCCCAGCGGGACCGCTCCCTCATTAACGTTCCAATGCAGGCGCAGCAGCATCAGCAGCAGCCGCAGCAACAGCCGATGAGGAGCATGTCGCAGCGACTGACGGGACAGAAGAATGCGCGACGTCCTTCGGTGGAGACAACGCCGCCGCCAACCTCAATTGGCGGCGAGCAGCAACACGATGTAATTATATTTTGAAACTTTAAGATAATTATTAATTATTATTTTTTACTTAAGCCTAACGTTTTCACAGTTAGGAAAACTTAATCTTTGATAGAAACAGCTCGATGTGACTGTTGTGAATTGATTATTTGTATTTAGCTTGCATGTAATCATGCGCCCAACATGATTAATCGAATCTATCTGATATCTTTACAGAGTATCAACGAAGGCGGCAGTAGCAATTCCAGTGGAACCAGCCTGCACAGTCTAATTCGCAACGGTTTCCCGCGCCCAGGACACCACCACCGCGTTAAGGCGAACGTTTTCATACCACAGCAGCAGCAGCAGCAACAACAGCACTATCAGAACCCCAACTACAACATGAATGTTATGATGCAGAGTATGAATATAAACGACGATGGCAGCGGCTCGATGATGGGTTCGATGAATTCCACCAAGAGTGCAGCAACCACAGGCAGTGAATCGGGCAGCTCGAATGGATCCTGTGGTGACCTGTCGCCCTCGGAGACACCGACGCCCACGCAACTGTCACTGCCTCTTCACAGTTCAGTTGATGGCGGCATGGGCATGATCACCACGGTGGTGCCCACCGGCCTGGGAAGCTATCAGCCGAAGCAGCACCACCTCAGCTACAAGCAGCAGCAGCAGTTGAACCTGCAGCAACGGCTAAACGGACGCAATGGTATGGACAAGAGCTACCAGCAAGTATACACGACGGGCTCGCCAAGCATCGTTAGCGATGCGCAAACCATGAGTAGCGGCAGCCTGCAGCAGCAACAGCAACAGCCGCAGACACTGCTCATCAGCCAGTCGCCGGTGAGCACGCCCACGACAACGGTGCTCCTGCAGCCGCAACAGCCACCGCCCACAGCCTACAACGCGAGTTATCCATATCACCAGCGAGGACCCCCGCCGCCACAACAGACGATATTCCAGGCGCACAGTGCGCCGCCGCCGCAAACGGTACGCGGTGGCTTCCGCTATCCTATGGGTCCCCCTCACAATGGAGAGCTCATCTACCCGGCCTTCCACACGAGCCTGGCCTTCCTGCCGATGACGGCGGGCGGCACTCCGACGGCGGTTACGCCGCCGCAACTACAGAGCACGGCCGCCGTGGTCAGCACGAACGCGGTGTCCGTCCAAACGGTGCCCACGCCGCAACAGCAACCGGTTCCCAGCACGACGCCCTACAGCGCGCTAACCGTTTGTCCCATTACGGGAGCGGGCGGTGGCGGAAACGGACAGAAGGTGATCTCCTGCTACAACTGCGGATCGCAGACGCACAGCGGGCGGGAGTGCCAGGAGGCGTCCATGGAGGATGTGACGCGCAATGCCAGCTACAAACTGGACTACTCGGAGACGAGCATGGATGCGAACTCCGCGGGGGATCACCACAAGGATGTGGGCGTGATGCCGATCAATTCGGCGACGACTGCGGGGACGGTGACCAGTACGGGGAAATAATACGGAGGGCCCATGTATTCACATACATATATGGAAATATAATTACTGCTATATTAATGATTATGCATAATCCTTACCTACTTATACGAATTACCATTTATTCTGATTGTGTAGTGCGGAAATCAAATTTCTCGCCTTTGCCACGTCTCTTAGTTCGGTAAGCCTCTCAATTCGCGTTAATTCGATTCGAGGATCGGCAGGCGGTTGCCTAAGTCTTGACAACCCTTATCCGTAAATAAGAATGATTTAGATGTATCCTGCCCTGCCACTCCCCGTTCCCCACACGGCCACACACATAGTCGATAACGAATTTTAGTCATATGCAACTCTAAATATTTATAATGTTAAGTTGAATGTACAACAGCAATAAGTAATAATTATCCTAATCCGCGTTCCGTAAACTCACTCACACGGGCAGATGTTACAAATGCCGCGATCGAATTAAGCTAAAGAACCATTACGTAAGCCACTACGCGACTACGGAAGGCGTATCCAAACCGTAAACGTAACGAAGGAGATAAAGTAACCTAGGAAAACAAAACAAAAAAAAAAACTACAACAACATAAAACAGAACACACGTAGCATACGGAATACCTAGCAAATATATAAAAAATTGATTATGTGTATAAACAAACGAGCGTAGCAGCACAATGTGCATAGTTAACCGACTTCTTATTCCAACCAAACCTTCTGATTTTCATCACCCTACTCTAGTTACTCCTTCATCTATTTATTTGCGGCTCCTTTGTTTAAACATGTATTTTAGCAATGTTTTTTTTGTACTTTATATAAATACCTACATACTTATATACATAACATATATATAAAGATATAAATATTATTTTAAAGCAACCAATCGTATATGATACACTCTTATGTGGATAGGGCGTACATTATTGCTAAGCACTCTAATTATTATTTTATGTACTCACAACTTGACCCCCAATCGTGTGGGCAACTGTTTATGTATGAACTGGCCAAGTTATAGAGAATAACCGTTAAGGTCACGCCAAAACCCGCCCACGGTTGACCACAAAATACAATTGCCTGCCCTTAGTTTCTTATGTATAGACGTTGTTAAAATTTTGTAAAGTCGGCAGACGAACTGCAAGGCAATGAAAAGAGAAGAAGCAAAAGATTTACATGAAATACACACTTTTCTGAGTTGGCTGCTAATGCGTAGGCATGACAAACAATTATTATATTTCATTGAAATAATAAAAACAAATTGTTTCTAAATCTCGTGTACCAACACAAAGCTACAACGACGACTGTCTTTATTTCTTCAGATGCTCTTCTTGATATTTTCAGTTCAACTCCTACGCTAACTCTTTTTAGCAGGTGGCGATGTGCAACCGAACCGAAAGAGATCCGGTGGCGCTCTTTCCATGGATTGCTTAAATGCACCCTCGCTGAGTGGCCAAGTCTTCTCTGTGCTTTGTAAGCTTACTGTACAGTGGGGTGTTAATTTGGAGTTGGTTAGTATATTTTAATTTTGAATACATTCTCAAAATTATTTAGTGTCTGCTTATTTTTTATGAGTAACATTTTTTTAATCACTTCAACTTTTATGAAAATGTCTTCTAAATTGATAATAATTTCTTATTTATCTTTTTTATTTAAGGTGAAAAATATTTTTCAAAATTTCTGTTCCTAAATTATTTTTATTGAATTATTTGGTCAGCCATTTCCATACAAAATGAGTTAATATATTTACAAACTTTGTGTTGTCATTCAAAATTGTACCACTGTCCTTCCATGGCTTAAACGCAACTCGGATTTGGGCAATACGACCAGAAACCGAAAGACCGAGGATCTCTCAAGCGTATCCGTCTTTCTTTAACGGCTCAGAGTCATAGCCGTAGTTATCGTGTTTGTCTTCAGTTGAGCGGTCGCATTTATCGGGTGTGGATCCTACAGCAAAATGTAGAAGTATTACCAAATTCAAGCAGGTGGTTGTTGCCACATCTCGAAAAGTCTCTATCAAAGCAATCATAATTTACAAGAATAACGTTTAAAAATGAGCAAAGTGATATAGTATCAGTTTCCTACTTTTATTAAAAGTGCAGTGTGTATATTACCCCACGAAAACATATGAAATCCGAGACGATCGTTGGTTGGTGGGTGTTCGTTGATGCATAGCGAAGTTGAAGTCTTACCAAGAGCTCAAAAAAAAAAAAGGAGAAGAAACCCCCTAAAAACAATGCTCAAAGCCACGAGGAAGACAGCGGATCCATACAAATCGAAGCTGAAAGTTAATGCCAGCCACAGTGGACCGCATCCACTGCCCGTGGAGCTGGCGGAGAAGGAGGAGGCCTCCTCCACTGGCGGCCAGACGTCGCCCCAAAAGCTCAGCTTGAAGGGCAGCCAACTGGGGGGCAGCATCTTGATTGGCAACTACAACGTGAGTGGAGTCCACTCCGGTTGTCGGTTGTCGGTTTCCGGCATCCGGTTTCTCATATCCGGTTAATAAGTCTTACCCCATTCGGTGTTTTCTCTTTTCGCCCGCAGTACTTGACCCAGCTGGAGGTTTGCGAAAACGAAATGGAGGTATTGGATCTCAGCTCTTTGGCGCAGCTGGAGTCGCTTAAGTGCAGCCGGAACAAGCTGATGGAGTTGATCATCAATGCCACCAATCTGCAGACGCTTGTAGCCGATCATAATTGTAAGAGGGGTCTTTTAAATTAGTATGTTCATTTCCGATCAAAATATTCATACTTCCTTTAAAGCGAAGAAAATAGTAGCACTTTTTAACAGGTCTCTTTACATTTTCATTTTTAATTAATCAGATTTGCATGCAATTAATATGCAATTAGGTTTTAGCTTAATGATTTCCACTATAATTAGGCTCATTACATCAATAAAATCAAGTTCAAATTCGAAACTTTTTGTTATTTTAAATTAACTGGTTGTATTTGGAGAAAGTAATCTTATATTTCATGCATTTCAGACCTGCATAATATATCCACAACAAACATCCATCCGGTTCCTTTGAAACTGCAACGCATCGACATTTCGCACAACAACTTCACCGAGCTACCCAACTGGATTGGAGCATGTGCATCCTTGTCCACTCTGGAGGCTTCTCACAATCATCTTATTAACGTGACGGGACTGCTGCGCAACTTCAGAATAAATCAATTGGTATCCTTGAATCTGGCATACAATGATCTTAAGCATCTAGATCAATTACCGGAGGCATTTTCCAGCGTTCGGAATCTACAGCTGCAGAGCAACGAGCTGCCGAATCTCCCCGAGAATTTCTTTGCCGTGACCCATGCTCGATTGGAAACATTAAATGCCTCCTGTAACAAGTTGTCCACCTTACCGCGCTACGAGCAGAATAACCATGCCGCTCTGGTGAACCTTTCGTTGGCGGGAAATCAATTAAATGACAGTATTTTTGAGTCATTGCACAATGCGGCCAAGTTGAGGGTCCTTCACCTGGCCTACAATCGCATTGGAGTCCTTCCCGCCGCTTGCGTTCGCAACTGGCCGGAACTGGAGATCCTTGTTATGTCCGGCAATATGTTGCAACAGCTACCAGAGGAGGTGGCCACTCTGGGCCAACTGAGGGTCCTTCGCTGCTGCAATAATCTGCTTCTGTGCACGCCTCAACTGGCCAAGCTGGGAATGCTCAAGGTGCTGGATCTATCGCATAATCATCTAGATCGAGTCAATCTGCTTGCATTGGTTCCCTCGCGGAATCTTAAGTATTTAGATCTTTCGGGGAATCTGCAGTTGCAGGTAAATATAAAAAATAATGAACGAGATATCATTCAGAATAATTACAACCATCTTATTAATTTTTCCCTCAGGTGGATGAACAACAATTTAAAGTGTGTCAAACGCAGAGCCAGAGAAACTGGAGTCTTATCGATGTTTCCGGCAACAACAGAGCCGCCCTGCCCACAACCACCCTCCGGCAGGTGAATACCCAACGGGGTCAAAACAAGACTTCTGGACCCTGGACCATGGGTTTTGCAGAGACCCCCGGCTCAGGAGATTGCCGCAAACTCTTGGTCTACCAACTGCGAGCGGCCAATTTCGGGGGCTCCGACGAAGCGCTCTACGGAATGTTTGAAGCGAAGGAGGGTCATGGTCGAGCGGCCCAAGAGATGGCTCATCTAGTGCCCGATCTGATGAAGCGGGAGCAGTTGGTCAAAGACTCGGCAGTCAGGGATTACATAAAGTTCACCCTACTGGCAGCGCAGCAGCAGTGTGGCAATGTTCGGAGCGCCGCTTTGTTTCATTTGACCAGGACACGGGCTCCATCGAAGGTCAGACCGCTAAAGAGCAAGCGGTATGTCCTGCGGATGGCCAGCACAGGACGACTGGATGCCTATCTAATACGCCGAACATCCCAATTGCGTTTGACCGAAACGGAATGCATCCAAAAGGACCAGAGTCATTCTAAGACTATGCCGGACCCTCAGGTTTTAGAGGTAAGTTTTTACTAAATTATTAATTATATGTGTTAATCAATATATTAATATTATTTAACCCTATTTTAGCTTACCCTAAGCAACGATGATGAGTACCTGGTAGTGGGCAATGCGCAACTCTGGTCGGTGATGGACATTGATCGTGCTGCCCGGGAGATTCGGAAGGAGGAGAATGCTCTCTTGGCGGCCAAGCGACTAGTAGACATTGCCCAGAGTTTCGCGGCAGCGGAGAATCTGAGTGTGATAGTGGTGCGCTTCCGGCATCTGGGCACTGATGTGGACCACCTGATTCGGGAACTCAAGCAGAGTGTGCGGAAGAAACCACCGCCGGTTTCCCTGCCTTCGTCCAGTGGATCCGTGTGCAAGCGAACCTGTTGCGATCGCAGCAATGCCTGTCGTCATCGGGCCATCGAACAGGAGCCTCTGGCCGGACGATCCTCGCCAAGTGGTCAAAGCGATAGGGATTTGCTTGCCAAAGACAAGGACGATGAGTTCGTGCTGGCCCATGCGCGCGTCCTGCAGGAGGAGCAACAGCTGGAGATGCTGGACGAAACGGAGTCTGTACTTTCCGAGGAGCAGTTCAAGTGCTGGGAGTACATGCTGGAGCAGAATACCCAACTTCTGTTCGACAAGGAGCTAAACACCATTTCCAAATCCTTCACGAAGCAGCGGTCCGTTCCCAATGCCATTATGGCTGCTCCTGTGGTTTCGGATCGCAATGATTTTACTTCGAATCTAATGCGGAGTGTCACCAATAAGTTCATCTCGAGTAGTACGCCTCAGTTGCCCCAACCACTGGGCTGCTCCACAACGAACTCTGTGCCTCTGGGATCGTATCATCCTGTAAAGCAGCCAGTTCCAGGACATTTTGGCAGTGCCCTCACCTTCCAGCAGGCCCAAAGCTACGGATATAATCTGTTCGATGCCAAGCCACGCAAGATTTCCGGAGGCACGGTCAAACGTCCTGGACCTAATTCCGCCTACTTTGGCTCCCTTCAGCGACTGATGCCCTACAACTTTGAGTACGACTTTGCCGTTACCCAGGAGCGGGAACGGAACATCCTAGACGAGGAGGAGCAGGACGATGACGACTTCAACGAACACGAGAGTCGCATGCGGAAATACTGGGGAGTCGCCACCACTGAACTCTAGAGTCTAGACGAAGGATAAATTACGCCAGGGTATTTCAAATAAGTTCAAATATTATCTAAATATATTCTAACATAAAAATTAGTTTAAAAAAGTCGACCCTTATTGAATGAAATACTTTACATTTTGATTTTTTTATTATGTTGAGAAATATGACTTCGACAGGTGCTAAACCCATTGGAAATATTAACGAAAAACCGTTATTTTTGTATTTAAAAAACACTTGAGTTAAAATCGATTAATAGATTATCGATGTTGTCTCACGTGGTAAACGCCGATAGACAATTTCCACGTTTGGCTATTGTTTATGTTTATGTTCGGTGGTTAAAAAGCAATCAACAATGCATTTGACTCAACAAAGACCGCACCACGACATTTCCGCGCTTTTTGCGGATGCCCAACCTGATTTCTTACGGGTTAGTGCTCCAAGTAAGTAAGATCATTTAATGAACACATACATTTCTAAAGACACTTCTTAAATTGCAGTGGTGCGCTACAGCAAATTGGAATTTAGACGACTTGTCCGTCTTAATGGAGTACAACTCGCTTTTACGCCCATGATGATTTCGGACTCCATTAACAACAGCGAAAAGGCCCGCCAAAACGAGTTCTCAACGGGAGCAGATGACCAGCCACTTATTGCTCAGTTTGCTGCAAAGGATCCTTCAGAATTTGTGACATCCGCCCAGCTTATATATCCGTATGTTGACGGCATCGACTTAAACTGTGGCTGTCCACAAAGCTGGGCAATTTCTAAGGGATATGGATGTGGGATGTTGCGGCAGCCGGAACTAGTGCGTCAAGTGGTGCAGGAGGTGAGACGCACTTTTCCCACCGACTTCAGTGTCTCGGTGAAGATGCGTCTGCTGGGAGGAGAAGACTCCTTGGAGCGCACCATTGATTTGGCCCGTCAGTTGGAGCACGCCGGCGTCACCTTTCTCACTCTCCATGGAAGGACACCAGCACAAAAACACTCGAAGGACACACTGGACATTCCAGCCATGTCAGAGGTGCGCCAATCTCTGCGGATTCCCCTGATAGTCAACGGCAATGTGGAGACCTACAAGGATGCCTGCGACTTGCATGAACAGACAGGAGCCGCTGGTGTGATGGCAGCCCGTGGCTTACTCGCTAATCCGGCACTTTTTAACAGCGCCTACCCGGATAGCAGGTCGACGCCTTTATCCTGTGTGCAACAGTGGTTAGATATTTCCGCTGCAGCTGGGGATAACCTGCTGTTCCAGTGCTTTCATCACCACCTCACCTTTATGTGGAGCGCCCAGATGAAGCGAGAACTGCGTGTTCAGTTCAATAGTTTGGGCAGCAAAACCAAGGTTGTGGAATTCCTTAAAGAACACTACAGTCTGCAATCCGGTGAGGATGACCCAGTGCCGGCAGATTATACGGATTGCACATACACCCACTTTACACCTCCCAAACACGCCCGGCATATTGCCGCCGAATCGGACGAACTGGCCTGGAGTTCAAAGAGCGATGGAAAGTTCTTCACGGAGTTTAGGGCGCACCAGTTGACGGGAACTGGCGGAGAGGATCTGGAATTGGGCGGTCTTTTTGGGGATGAATAGTGAATTCTTTTGACTTGTTAGTGTAGTTATGAAATTGTCAAAATTGTACAAATTAAACAATCGTTTATAAAATAAACTTTATTTGCACTGTATTTAGAAAATTAAAAATTAAAATATCCGCTTGAAAAAATAGTGGGAATTATGCGATAACAGATTTTTTTCTATCGATAATAGCTTGTGTCATCGCAATAGAATTTACCACCCCTAAATTACTGGCTCCCCACCCCAAAAAGAAAACAACCAAGCCTGAAAAATGCGACGCCGCGAACTCCAGACCATCCAGCTGAAGCTGTCCGATCTCAAGGAGTACGAGCAGGCCAAGATGGAGCGTCTGAGGAGTCGCCAGCAATTGCTGACTCCCCGCACGCCCACTCCACCCTCCGACAGCGAGGTGCTGCCGGTGACCTCCAGCAGCGTTCCTGCTGTTCTGCTGGCTAGCGGCGGCAAGGAACAAGACGAGGATGCCGCTAAGTCGGAGCCCACAACCAAGCCCAGTACATCCTCCACCTAGGATCAAGGGCCGCAGTGTAAGTTCACATACATACATATATTATCGTTTACATAGGATAATCGTCCGCATGGCTGTTGTTATTGTTCTGAAAACGCACCGTCTCGAAACCATCGACGAGAATTTCGCGATCCTCGGTTTGCTGCCGATCCCGAAGCCACTGTTCCCGCACGGGCACATATCGCCGAAGGCCGGGCAGTTTCCGCCAGCAGCGTCGCTTGTAGACAACCCAAATTAGTGTTGCACTGCACCCGCCTAGAAAACATATCAGAAATATGCTAATTCCGCGGGCGTGCGACGTTGTGGCCGGTACTTCAGAAATTTCGTCGGTCAGTTCCTTGGCCGCCCGACTGTGGGCCATCAGACGTTTTTCCTCTTCGCTGCACTGAGTTACGGAGATGTAGGCTGTCATCACATCTCCTGCCAAAGAATGAACCCGCACAGAGCACTCGGTGAAGGTGACATTTAGCTGCTCCAGGTAGACATTGCCGGCTTTTTCATGCTCCTGCCTCGTCACACACCCCACATGACTTTGGTTGTAGTTATTGCGGTAATGGATCACAAAGTTAGTCACCATGCCATTCGGATGCTGGGGCTTCTCGAAGCGTATGATGTACATTTGGGTTTCAGGAATGTGGCACGCATGCAGATCGGTCAGCAGATCAGCACCCATTGTAAAGTTCGTGCGAGTGTAAAGCGTTGTGTGGCTGCTGCATCCCAAAACATTGCAAGCCTGCAGCTGAAGTCCATACAAACGATAGCGACTTAGTGACTTTAGTTCGTATTCCGTGGTGTTTCCCGCCAGCCGGAGCTGGGGTAGAGTGGCTTCCGTCACCGAAAGTTGCCGACACTGTTTTCGATCATCTAGAGTGCAGCGATACTGCTCACGCATTTCCACTATGAAGCGGAGGTCGTCTGCTTGCTCCGCCTTATGGTAACAGCAGTCGTCGTAGTCCTCGAACGAAAGCCACTGATCGCCGTCCATGTCCTGCAACATATACGACGGCTGGTGACAGTAGTTTCGCTGCTCTATATGCTCACGATCATCGGGCAGTTCGAAGACCGTAAGCAAATAGCTGTCGTGGTCTTCACTGGCCATCCGCACGGTCAGCGAGCTATCCGTCTTCTTGACCAGCTCCAAAAGCGGTGGCTTCGGTACATCCATCTGCGTTTGCACGTAGATCAGTTCGCTGCGCGTCTCCTGAGCCATTTCATCGCCGAAAGTTCGTAGCAGGCAGGCGTATCGCGTGTCCGGCTCAAGATTATCCAACTCATACAGAAAGTGGGTGCCATTCTCGATTAGTTCGTCGGGAAAAAGTAACCGACGCTTCCAGTGGATTCTTGTGCACACCGGCGCCTCCAGTTCGCTCTCCTCATGGTAAAGTACTCCCTGTGGCAAAGGTCGGTGGATCAATTCAAGCCTCTGGCTAGTTTGGGATTTCAGCCAGCTCAGCTTCACAGTCCGATGGGTGCGTTTCTAAAGAAAATAAAAAGAAAGAAAAGGAATGTGTTCAATCCCGTACGAAATTTTAATGATTTCTTGTTGTTGAAGCCAGCTTTTTGTAAAATACCTGTATAATCAGCTTCAGTTTAGAGGGACTGCACTGGACTTCTTGATCGTTGGTTTGCAGGGAGTCCAGAGCTCTGTCATGGGTTACACTATCCTGGAACTCCCGCATTCGCCGGTTGCACAGTCTATTGTTGCGATGCATAAACATGCCGCCCTCCAAGAACTCTAGTTGCCGGGAAGGTTTCCACAGCTCGGCCAGCTGCTTGTTGTCGTAGATTATAAAGGAGTAGTGACGATTCTCCAGGGGATCACCGTAAATACGCTCCAAGTTGCTTAGGAAATTCAAGCTGCGTAGCTGTGAGGAGCTTTAAAAAAAATTAAAGTTCTTAAGTTGATTAGGGAAAAGAAATGAAAAACCTACCGAAAGACTTTGAGGTGCCCTCGAACCTCGCGAATGCTGGTCAGGCTCTGGAGCAGCTGTGTCTCGTTCACCTTGTTGCGAATGGTTATGACCAGGCTGCCATTGAAAATCTGGCAGCCACGCAACTTCTCGGCATCGGCCAAATTGTTAATGGTGAACGTATCCCCAGGAAGCTCCGGAGTGCAAAAGCTAACGCAAGCCTCTTCGGGACCACAGAGCACACACTCGGATTCGTTGTTAGTCTTGTAGCCACTGGGGCAAAAGGCCACGCACTCCGATCCGTAGATGACGGAGCCATGTTTTTTCACACACTCATCCTTGGTGTAGCATCGCTGGTAATGCTCCATGACGTACCTGCAAATCAGGCTATACAAAAAACCCGGGTATATCAAGAGTTGTTCACTTACTTTCCTTTCGGACAGCTTTTAACGCAGACACCGGCATCACTGAGTCCACGGCAAACAGTGCAGTTAGCAGCGGACTTACCCTTGCAACCGCCAAAACAATCCTCGTGACAAGAGTCAATGTTGCTAAAAGAATTGCACAAAAGTTTTAAATACTTTATTAAGAGTACCCCATCGTGCAACACTAAGTAAGAAATATAGTTAATAGATTCTTGTGAATTCTTAAAAGACCCAAATTAATATCTTGGTAAATAATATTTAAACTCACCTCTTGGGGTTCGCGACGTTCGCGTTGAGAGATCGCTGGCAGTAACGATTGGTCCAGCAGTGTGATGAAGCGCATCCCGTGCAAACGGGCGGGCTGCATTTTTTACCGGAGAGTAAGATGTGGTTCTCACCTTTACTGAGGGTCAGCAAATCCCAATCAACCCGGTCGAGATTGCACAGCTTCGCGCAATTGCCGATGTAGACTTGGCCGCGCTGTATGGCGATCAATTGCGGGAAGGCTAACTACAAGTCGTGGGGTTGAAAATGGTCTCGCATTAGTTCCAAAAACCTTGATTCTATTATATAACTAAATCTCAATCATTTGATTTGAATCAATTATTTCACTTACATTTTCGAGGTCGTGCATGTTGGTGACTCCGAGGGCGTAGTTAAGGAAAAGTCGGCGACCTCGGATTATGGCTAGATTCGGGAACATTTCCGTGATGTTGACCAGGCCGCGGACCTCTGTGAAGATCATGAACTCGGTGATCTCGGTGAGGCTTGGAAAGGAGTATTTCGAGAAGTTGCAGTGCTGATCGGCGGGAATCAGCGTGATTAAAACATATCCATTAACAACGGTGCAATTGTCCAGTAGGTGCATCTTGCTGCACTCGTTGCGGATATCAATGCTGGTGCACTCGTGCTCGACTTTTGGTTCGGCACAAGGAACATATAGCGCCAGCAACATGAGGCTGAATCCCAGCAACATGTTGCTGATTTGCATGTTGCTAAGGTGGGACTCTAAAACTGTTCTGAACTCTATTTCTCGTTTTCGCTTTTAAGCATATTTTGCCGGCAAAGATGTCGTCTCAACATATTGTTTCGCTTTTGCCGTACTTTAATTTTTTTGTTCCCGATCCGATTCGTTTTCACTTATATAGTAGCACTGCCAATTAGCGCGCTGGCTTTCTGGCCATCTGATTAGCCCCAATATTTATGACTTCAGAGCTTTTCACGATATCGGGGGCGAAAAATCGCACACGAAGGGCCTGCTTTTGTTTTACTTCTTTGCTAATTGTTTGGCTTCACTGTCTAGATCTTAAACGTAAACAAACACTTTATCACGAAGAAAAAAAAAACACATTACGCACGTTAAAAACATTTATCATCACTCGTATTTGTTTATTTTTTATTGGCATTAGGCGGGCATCGCACAGGGCAATCGTCCCCGCTTCAATTTTCGTCTCTTTTGGCACATATTCACTTAGCGGGGGTTGCCATACATATATTCACTTCATCTTCCGATCCAGAGAACGATGATTTGGCTACGTAATCTGAGGGCGAAATATCTAATTTCAAAACCCAAAATACCAAGGAACAGATCCCCTTAAAGTTGCTTAATGTATTCAGTCTAAATTCCAAAACAATGAAAAAAAATTAAATTAGGATTCAGAGAAGACATAGAAATTTATAAAAACATTCGAAAAATAAACAGTCGAAGACATAAAATTTAATGGAAATTCTTTTCAATTTTTCTGGATATTTTAAGTCAAAGCTATAATTATAAAAAAATGTATAACGTATTTTTTTTTGTAGTTTTATTTATTTTATCTGTTCCAGTGCTTTTTCAAGGGCACTAACTTATATATGTATTCCAAGTCAGTAAAACTTTATTAAATTATTCTTAAAATTTGTTTATTTCAGCGAATTTTATTTCTACCTCAATGGATGGAGCACCTACAATTTGCACAGACCATATTTTACAATTTAGGTTTAATTAACGTAAGCTGTTCGCGGAATTCGAATCGATCGTGGCAATTTACTACTATATATTAAGTGTATTTAATCGGGCACTATCATTAATTAGTGCCGAACAGCCAGACTGTTAAATATAAGCAAGAACTCAAAAAAATATTTCAAGATTTCATTATGGGGCGATTCCAGCTGGCCACACACACGGCGGCGGTATGCAATTAAAATATTTTGGACAATTCTCAAAGAACGTTTTCGCCCGGTGCAGATTCGAGATGCGAGAGAAGAGCAGAGAAGAACGCCGACGATGTTCACCCCGCGACGATCGATTGCCGACTGACCGTCTGGGGACCTCGTCCGTCTGTGGAGAGCAAACAAATTGATTTTCCATTTAGTGTCTTCTGCCTCCAGCCTCCGACCCTGGAATCTCGCCGATTGCCAGATACACTGCCTCCAAAAGGGGCCCTGTGTGTGGACCGTAAATTGATTAAGCGATCGTTTGATTTCTCCGGGAATGTGAACCAGTTAATTTGTCATCTGCCCGCCCAGCTTATGCAATCGCTTGCCATTGATAAGTGATCGGAATGCTATCCACTGGGAGTTTCTCTCGGTGCAGCCATTCGATTTGTATGGCTGCAACTCCTGACAAACCACCAGCTGATCCTAGTGGCTCATAAAAACAGCTGACTCCAATTAGCCACATGGCACCGGCATATCGGCCGCTTCTCTTTACACGCACATGGACAACTGGAAATCAAGTCAGGAGAATTCCCATGCAGAATCAAAAGCTATTAAGTTTAACGAGCCGGCATCGAGGAGTTCCAGAGAGCATAAATTGCACACAGAAAATAATGCAGTTTTGTTTAAATATTTGGGTAATAAAAAAAAGGTTGGACTGATTTGATATTTTTAAATACATATATCTTCTGGTTAATGTTTAAAATTATTTAACAGTCATTTGTAAATGGTTGGTCTGCAAATTATTTTTCTAGAGAGTCTTGACTTTGAAGTATGTATTACAATTGTATCCTCCATTAAATTAAAAGAACCCCTTTATAGTTTTGGAAAGCTGATCTCCAAGTTTATTGACAACAACTTCCGTCCATTTATTGAGAGATAAATAAGTTCCTCTCCATAATAAATCATGATAGAAAGGGTAAGTTTCTGAGAGTCGACTTGTTTTTTGGTTTTTCTCAGCGTCATCTTATTTGTATAAAAGATCATTTCATATTTTTCATGCCCCGGCGAGTGGTTCGTGTCAAAGTTCAATTAATTCAATTAAGTTATTGGGTGCGTGTATGCTCAGATCAAGATAACAGATCAATGGAAAGCGTAACAGACGGAAAATGTTTTCCAAATCGACTTTCGTCTTTTCTTTATATTCATTAAATTATAGATTTATTTATGTAGTGCATTTTTAGTTCACGTTAAGGTTAGTTGCTTATCTTAGGACATTTAGCCTATTCGGGAGGCGTATTGTCGTGTATCCACTCGGAAAAGTGGGCCACTGATGTGTAGACACTCGGAATGCGAAGGCCGCCGCAGTTATCAGATCCGAAGGACATAATGCCAATCTATGGAGGGGACTCATATTTAAAAGCTTCACAATAAACATGACTAACGAAACTAATTAATAAAATGTGTGAAAGCCAGGTTCCCTAAAATTGTAATTCATTGAGTATAATATAACCTGTATTACCTGTGAAAAGATGCCGTTCTCCTGTATGAAAAGCGGCGCTCCTCCGAATCCTTGACAGACGTCCTTGCCCTCGCCACCTGCGCACATCCACTGTCCCTCGATGGAATTCGGGGACTCCAGGGCGCCGGTGGATCCGTAGTTCCGTAAACATAGATCCCAACTGGTCAGCGGGACGTCCAGGTGCGACATCTCCGGCTGCCGGACACTCGACGTGGACATCTTGCCCCAACCGGCGATCGTCGCCCGTTTCCCCACCACCAAGTTGGCGCGTGTCTTCTGCAGGCAGATGGGTTGTGTGGCCACTGGCGGAGCGAGAGTGGAAAAGGGTTGGCCGCCATTAATCTTGTCTTCGACTTGTGATCGCTACCTGCCCGAATCTGCAACATTGTTGCCTGGCCCAAAGGGGCTTACCCAAAAAAAATTCCAAAGGGGGTTTCAAGCACCACAAATAAAATGCTTGTGCTACCACAGGAAACTTGTTTTGTGAACTAATTTGCAAAACTTGATTCTTACTTAGCGAAAAGCTTAACAACCTTTCAACTTCTAAACAATTTTACAATTTATCACAAAGAATGAAAAAATATTTTAATATGTATACAAGTATTTGGTCAAATAAAAAGTCTCAATTCATTCTTTTTAAGTAGTACTGTACTAAGCAATAATAAAAAGAGAACCCCATGCTATAATAGCTTTGGCTATAGCAACCTTGACCTCTTCCATCAAGTCTTTTCTAAGTAAATGTATTTTTAACTCATTTGTTTATACTACCTATTCCCCTATAAATTGTTAGAAATGCGAAAGGAAATGCAAATTTGTTTTTGCAAAATAAATAAACCCCACTCGTAGACGCCCCTGTCTGACCCTTTGATTTATCTCGAGCCGCAGTATTTTATTGGGCATTATAAAGCAATAAGGATGAACGCAAACAAGTTGGACAGCCACCTGGGCAACGCCCCATTTTGGGTTGCCAAATAATGTGCTGTTTACGAACTGGCCAAATTGCAATTAACCAATCGATTGCCTCACCGATCGGCCGTTCGGTGTCTGGTAATGACCCGCATTTGTCATTCTGGACGGGAGAGTGGGTTCTGTAACAAGGTTTTACGCTTTCAGATTTAATTTCAGCCCTCATTCTGAGGAAGGAGTCATCAAAGTCACGTCCAAATTGATTTCAGTCCTCGGGTTCGGTAACCAACAATTTGCGGGTATCGTAAACAAAAGTTCTCAAGCCCTCAAGTGGATTACAGAAGTTGAATGAAATTTTTTGTTTTTTGTTTTGGTTGCAATAAGGAAATGTGATTTGGAACTCAAAAAAGATCAAACTGTGGCAATAAATCATGCCAGCGTTTTATTCCAAAGTTCGCAGCCATTGAACTGAGGCCAAAGGTTCAAAATCAATGTGACACTCAGTGGACTTAACTCATTAGCTGGTACAGTAAACACGCCCAATTAAGTGACATGTGGGGGGCTCCCAACCTCGAATTAACCACATGACATTTCTGAACTTGGAGCGTGTGGAAGTGGAGTGAGTGGTGAAGTGGAGTGGTGGAGTGGAGTGAATGGAAAGATGACAGAACAAAACGATTTTTAATTAACGGCGACACCGCCAAGCGTAACCACCTATTCCACTCCGATATAGTGGAGTACCTCCCACATTTCCCGCCCAGAACTCACCCGAATAGTTTAGCGGCGTTTTGAGCACCAGCAGGGCAATATCGTGGTGGTACTGGCCCTGTTTGTAGTCGGGATGCACGATCACATGGCTGATGGCGTGATTGACGGATCGCGGGGCACAGAAGCCGGTGTTGGCGCAGTCCGGATCACTCGACGTGTCGTATTCGCCCACTCGCACCGATGACCTGCAAGAAGTCCGGGGGAGAAAGTCGATTGGATGGCCCGATATGATGCACTGCACCCAGTGACCCACTTACAGTCGGTGGCCATCGGCCTTGGCCAGCGCACAGTGGGCCGCCGTTAGGATGACCCGCCGGGCAATGACAGCCCCGGCACAGGGGTATGCAAAAGCTCCAGTATTTACATCTGCAATATAATATTATCAGTTTTACTTTACAACATTTACAGGAGATCTTTCTAATATAAAGAAAATCTAAATTGTTTTTCCTTAGTCATCAATTGAATTTAGATTTATAATTTGTCTAATATTTCTGTAACTCTAAGGTTAGAAACAAAAGTTCCTTTTACAAGAATATGTTGATATTTTGGAAATCAAATTAAGTAAACCATGTATGTGAACTATTATTTTGATCCTTGATTTTATGAATAATTTAAGGATAAAAGTTCCACAATTTGTTGTTAAAAAAAAAAAACGAACAAGGTGTTTAATAAATCACAATCTAAAAAAGTAAAACATGCTCACGTTTGAAACCGATGCGTGCGACGAATGGATAGGATCCCAGGCCCTTGTAAAAGTGTCCCTGGACCAGGGACTTTCCGCAGACCTGGTTCTTCTCCAGCGGACTGCTCGGACAGCAGACGTAGGGGAGCTCCTCGCTGGTTCCGCCGCAGTAGAGCGACTTGTCGCCGTAGTAGCAACTCCGGGCCACCTCGTAAATCAGGGCGGTGCAATCGTGAAGGGGAGTACACTCCGTGCCCACGGAGCAGCCAGTTTGTCCGGCGGAGTGGCCAATATCGTAATAGGAGCGAGCTGCCACCGAGTGTCCGGAAGTTTCATTGCTCCGTATTCCATTATTTTTATCCGGATTTCCATAGCTCAGAGGAACCAATAGTTTTTCTAAAATAAGTTTTAGTTGAGTTGATTTTAAGCCGTACAATAATTTAAAATAATTTTTCAGATTTCGCATTTCCGTATTATTGAATTAGACACTTGATACTATATGATAATATATCTCCATAATCATTAGGATAACTATTTTCCATATTTCTTTTATTTGTTAAACTTTATCCTTTGGAGTACATTTAAAAACATCACTTTTAAACTCGTATCCTACCGAATTCTCCCGATTCCGTTCGACCGATTGCCAAAAGTTGTAAAACTAGGCATAATATTAGAAATGATTGCATTGTTGAAATCACTTTATTTAGTTGTTTGCACTTCCTTTTATGTAATAAAATATACTGATGAGAGCTGAGAACTTTCGGTTTCCGTTAATTCGAACCGTGCAGGTGAACAATACTTTGTCAACTAAACGACACGATCCCGAAACGATCTGGCCAAATGAAAATGAAAATATACGTATCCACACAAGCAGATAAGTATACCACACACATGCCCACTCTATATACTGTATTACTACTGGTCTGGCTGGGTCTGCGGTTATTAACTGATTTTTATGACAGTTTGGTCTCGATTCGCGACCATTTCCAGGTTGTAATTTACCCATTTGTTTGCCAGATACATATTTCTATGGCCTTTGATGGCAGAACATGCGGATCTGTCCGTCCATTGCAAGCGATCTCATGAATCCCTCCACAGTTGCATTTTACTTTTTTTTCGTTTCTGGCCATTATTACTGGTTGGTCATTTTGGTAAAAGTGAGTTTAGGGTCGATGGGTTAGGCTAAAACGGCTTTGTGATGCGCTACACGTGATGTGGCTCCTATTTTGGTAAACCTAGCTTAAAAACTTCAGAAATGTATTCCAGTTTTCTTACATCTTAATGGTAGCTAATAAAATATTAAAGAATTGTGATGAAAAAGGTATACATTCGATCATATAAAAATATTTGTTTCAAAATACTTAAAACAAATTTATTGTAAACTGTAAAATAATTAAATAAGTTGGCGAACTGTATTATAACATTGTTAAACAGATCAATTGTAGCGATCACCTAATTCTTGTTGGCCTACACTTTCCCCTGTTTGGTGATGTGTGTTATTATTTAAGTGAGATTAGCTGAGTTTTTCATATTCTATTTTTTTTTTTTGTTGTGGGCAATAATAAAATATGTTGAATGAGATCATTTAGTTTTGATAAGCTTGCGGCATTTCACTGGACAAACGGCCAGCTGGTTCCAGTTTTTTAAGCAGGAAAACAACCGCGACAAACGCACATTAAATTGCTTAATATGAAATCGTATGTTGCCAGTACCACTGGCCCCCAAATTGTTTTGTAATTTTATGCTGAATTTTCTTTTTTTACTGTTTAACATTTAATGGTCGGTTTTTACTTTCGTTACGTTTAACGCCACTTGGCAGACATTTAGCCAAAAAGATAATTTCACTTTTATGAGAATATTTCGAGTTCGTTGCGATGAAGTTAGTGTTGCGACTCCATCCTGTCGATACGACTTTAGTTGGATTCCAGGCTGGTATCGCTGGTTCCGTCGCCAGATGATTCCGAGTCCACGGAGACCGAGACTGAATGCAGTAGGGAGTTTTCCAGTTCGGGCAGTGGGTAATTGGGCAGAACCTGGCGGAATACATCGTAGCGATCCCGCAACTGGACATCCACATCCTCCGGTCGAAGTTGCTGTTCCTGGAGGGATTGCAGCAGGGAAAATAGGTGCACACGGTTTGCAATGCGGCATTCTGGAAGAAGACTTCTCTCCTTAAGTTCATTGAAACACATCTTGTGAAAATAATTTATTTTATAGCTTAAAATTTGGAAAAGGAGCTTCGTTTCAGCTTGAAAGTTGATAGAAGAATGATGTTTTGCTTTAGAAAACAAACACATAGCATATACGAGTACAGTAAAAAAGATAAAAATGGGCATATAATTCTTATAAAGCTATTAAACCTCTTGTAATGTTTTTTCATCTAAGTTAAAGATCAAATAACCATGAAAAGTATAGGTGAAGAAAATTTGTATTTTACCATTTTCCACAATAAATTTGAAATAACAATATATTGACCTGTACTGAAATACTTTGTAAGAAAATGTAATTGCCATAATTATAGTGATCAATTTACATCGGTTATTGCGTAATTTACCTGATAAACTGTTAACCCATTAAATACCCAACAAAAGAATACTTTTCAATAAAAACGGAAGCAATCTCATTCGCATAAATACAAATGTGTGATATTTATGTGTAGTGAACATTGCACATACAAAAATATAAGTTGTGTGCAAAAACTAAGCTTTGCCATCCGAATCAGCGTTATACGGCTCTTATAGCCATTTTAATGTGGCAATTAACGTGTTTAAACTGTCAGCAAATTGCTGAAATATTAATGGCCAACACACATAGGGAATTACCCCTTATACCGTATATAGCAACAAAAAGTTTAATTGTTTGGGGTCACAAGTTGAATCAAAAAAGTGTGACGTTACATTATAACATAATATAGCTTTTATTAAATGAAAAAATGAATGTTTAAATTTTTACAATATGTAAGATTTTGTTAGTTAGCTGTTCTTTTTTTTTTTTGGTATATAAGAAAAAGAGTAATAGCCCCGATAGGCTTGAGTTAATGTCAACAGCAGAACAACGATAAAGACTCCGAATAGCTTCATTTTCTTCTAATCATGGCTTCTATGCATCGAACTGGCCTTTTATACCTGTACTTTATGCAATTATAGCGGTTAATTAATTTGATATGCGCATTATTTAACCTTTAATAAAAAAAAGGAAGAAACTAATTTTTTGCAAATTTCGAAAATTTTAATCAGTCAAAAATAAAAAAACAACTTATGACCCTGTTGATTATGCAATTAAAATACCTCTAAACGTATGCCACTTCAAAATCGGAATAATAAGGAGGAATCATAAAAGTTGTTTTATAAAAAAATTTTTAAAAAACATTTCGCTGAAATTATCACACCCTCTGCAAGGGTAATTAAAGAACTTTTTTAAAATGTAGTATAATATAATGTTTTGGATAAGGTACATTAGTTATGGTGAATTAGTTCCGATATCCAGTTGTGTTTTTTTAACTCTGCAATTTGACACCGGCAAAGTCCTTTGTGTTGCGAGATAAGTTCGGCAAACTGGGAAACAATAGGATCCCGACCACAAGAAGCTACTGACGTCACCACATCCTGATCGTCCACAAAATAAGCCACGAACTGCAAATCATCCAGATTTCCGTCGACTATAACATCTTTGTAGGATCCATATCCTGCGCATCGAAAGGCCTTACCAAAAATCACTGTATAGAAAAAGGGTATAGCCTCCAGTTTTGCAATACGATCACACATGTTCAAGGCAGCAATGTGTCCATGGTATTGTGCCAAGCCATAGTGACTTATATTCACACGATCTTCAATTCCACCTAAAACATGAGCGTTGGCTATATCACCTCCCACATAAACATTTCGTACATTTGTCTGCAGAAAGTCATTAACATCCACAGAACCATTGGGATTAATCTTTACACCAGATTGTTTGAGAAACTCTGTATTGCAAAGGCAACCTGTACCCAGAATAAGCAGATCGCATGGTATTATTGACTTATCTAGGAGCTCTACTTCCCTTACTTCATTGTATAGGTTTCCCAAAACCTTTACGATTCCACTATTCATTCGCAGCTTAACATTGTTTTCTTTCAGAAGTTCTAAAATACGGTTTCCTATCAAATCCCCAAGAGTAGTTTTAAATGGAACATTTTGACGGGATACTAGAGTAACGCTTCCCGCCTTGGAAACCAAATTGGCAGCAGCCTCCACTGCCATAAAACTTGAACCCAGACACACCACTTGGGTCGTTTTACTCACCATTTTGAGGATGCTCCTGGCATCATCAATATTTCGAATAGTTTTTACATTATCCAAACTTACGCCAGGTATATCTGGCCTTTTAGCTGAATAACCAGTAGCTATATAGATCTTGTCATATCTTAAACTTTTGCCATTACTGCAGTAAAGGATGCTGCGAAATGTATCCAGCTTTTCAGCGGAAACTCCCAAGATCACCTCTATATCGTTGTCCTTGTAAAATTGTTCGTTCCTAAGGCACAGCTGATTGTTCTTATTTTTTGAGGAGTTCATAATCTCTATTCGATCGTAGGGCAGGTGTTTTTCCCGGCAAACCAGAATTAATCGACCAGTGAAACTCTCCTGCCGCAAAGATTCCACACAAACAGCTGCTGAAGGACCACCACCTACCACTACAAAGCATCGATTATCCTTAAAACTTCGCCTCGCCATCTTTTTGATCCTAAAGTTCTTTTGCAAATCAGATCGCCTAACTTGCACCAAAACTTTACCTTTGGCATCTACATTGACTTGATGACAAGGCAGTGAATCAAGACCTGGAAAGTTTTCGATGTCTCCAGTTTCAAGATTGAAGCAAGCTCCGTGCCAAGGACATCGCACTCGATTTCTGGAAAGGACACCTTTAGACAACGGAGCTCCACGATGTGGACAATGGGCTCCAACCGCTCGAAGGATATTGTTTTGATTGACTAACAGGATACTGGTATTCTCGTTGAGTTCCACATGTCTCATCTCATTATCCTGCAAGTCTGACTTATAGCATACTGCCACTGGATCGGTATATTCATATTTATAAGAATTGGGAAACATATTTATACTTAAAAATGTTAAAAACAAGTAATTGACAATAAAAGTATAGGAAAACATATCACTAAAAAATGTTGCCCCAATAAATGTTAAACAACTTTTTTAAAAAAGGTTGCGCTTTGAAGCAATTATTAAAAAGAAAATGAAGTTCATATTTAGCTAAATCCTACCTTGCTTAACTAATTAAATAAAACATTCTGAATAACAATTTTTGTTGTCTTTTATTCTTATGTGTCAAATAGTAATTTATTTCATCGCATTCGTTTTATCATTTTACGTAGTTGCTTTTCTTTTACTGACATTTCTATTTGGTTGAAATATTTTTTGGTTTTTGTATTGGTTTTGTTTTTTTTTTTCTCGTTAGATATAAATACGACATCACGTTTTCGTAATTGATATTTCTCCTATGCAATTTTGTTGTATTCCTATATAAAGCAATAAATAACTTGTTGATTTTTTTTCGTTTTTTGGTTTTTTGGGGGGCAGGGCCTAAGCGAATTTTGTGCTCGCAATGCCCCGCATTTGTTGACGCTATACAGACTTAATTAATTTAAAATTCAGTTTTAGTTTCCATTCACTATACACAAATATACAATATTTACAATAAAATATCAGGGTTACGAATGTAAATGATAGAGCGAAGTAATCGTTCAAGAACAGATGTAATCATAACGCTTTAGTAACATTCAAGCCGTGTTTGGTGTACATATCTCAAGCTAAGCCCACCGTTGGCAAACCGAATTGAAATCAACGATTTTGAGCAAATTGTGTTGGTTGTTGTTGTTGTTTTGTTCTCCACAAAATTAAGAAGACTTAGAGTGCATAAACAATAGAGTGTGGATGTTGGGAGTGAAAAGCCCACGACAGCGTTGCCATATTACTCATGGACTTAAGCTTTTATGTTGCTACTGTAGATGTTGCAGCCCTTGATGTTGCTGATAGTTTCGCAACATGTTGCTGATCATGTTGCTACCGTTGCTGTTGTTGCTATTACTCATGTTGCTGTTGCTGTCGATGTAGCAACATCTGTTATTGCTGCTGCTGCTACTGCTGGCGTGAGCTTTCAATATGGCGTCGCTGCTAAAGCTGCGACGAATGTTGCTGATGTTGCTGCTGGGCAGCGACCAACAGCAGGCTGCGCGACTGCATCTCGAAATAACGCAAAAGCAGATTTGAGTATCAGTAATGTACGCCGGGCGCCGAAGGATTTGGGGCGGAATTAACGCTCACGCTGCCACTTCCACCGCCACTGTTGCTATTGTTGTTGTTGTTGTTATTGTTGCTGCTGCTGTTGTTCGCACTGTTGTTGTTGTTATTATTGGCGCTGGTGTTGTTGGTGCTGCCCGAATCGCCCAGCCAGGAGTCAGGACTGGGGGAAAATCAGGATAGCCCTGATCCGGACTAGAATCGTTGCTCAGATCGGAAACGTTGTTGCTACTGTGCAGGCGATGATGCGACTTGCTCGCATGCAAACTAGAGCCCACCGCTTGATCTAAAACATAAGTAATATTAATAATACGAATTAAAAATTCGTATAAGGGAAATGTGGTTGTCTACAACCCACCTATATTGGTGTACACAATGTTATCCGGATAGGAGCCGAACGTATGGCCTTGGCCAACTGGCGGCGGCGAGCGACTGCTCGGCGGATACTGCGACGGACTCGAGCTGCCGTGCATGTACGATCCACGGATGCTGTGCGGCGAGGCGCCCTCGTCCAGGCCCAAATTGACGGTGCTGTAGCTGTCGTTGCTCAGATCTGCAAAAAAAGAGATGCATTATTTTGTATTATAAAAAAATAAAGCCAGAACTTCTAACAAGAAAAGAATTACGAACTTTGGAACATAATCTACACGAAATTAAAGCTAGCAAAGAATAGTCTGTTCAATTATATTCCGCATTTAGGCTACCTCTCATATGTAAATTATTTGTTATAAGACTCTTTCCATTATATAAACAACCAAAGATCTTTGTTAAATCGATTGCCTTCTCTAAAAATATTGCAATCATAAATCCATTATGACTCTAAGGAACACTTCGTGAATCCCAACTTCTTTATATTCTAATTCTTGCTTAAAATCGCTTTATAACAATTGTAATTAAAATGTAAATAAATCTCTATTCCAAATACCCTATAGTTTATTATTAAAATATCTTCAAGCACTCACCATGGTGACTGAAGCTGTCGTAGTCGACCTTCAGCTCATCCTTGTCGAGGAATTTGTCGGTGCGAGGCGAGCAGTTGCCCTTCATCGAGCGGAAGTATTGGCTCCAGCGCGTGCGGCCCGCGTCCTTTTTCAGTCGTTTCTCCTTGGCCCGCCTACCAAAGGAACAAGTGGTGGTCAATATGAGATACTAGAGATATACTAGAGAAGGAAACTCAATAGGAAACCCACCTGTTCTGGAACCAGACCTGCACCACTCGCATATCGAGGCCCGTGTCCTGCGAGAGTTGCTCACGTACATGGCGGGCGGGCTTGGGACTATTATTGTAGGCGGTTTTCAGGGTCTCCAGCTGTTTGGCGGTGATCGTGGTGCGCGGTCGCTTATTCGGCTGATCGCCATCCAGAGAGCCATCCAAATAGAGGCCTTTAAAGATTTAAAATTCCAATTAATATAGGTAGTAAGGGGGAGTTTGAAAGGACTATCCACCTTTTGCCTTGGCCTCCTCGTAGTCCCGCTTGCAAATGAGCTTGCGATCCTCCATCAGGTAGAACTCGTCGCCCGTGTTCAAGGTGCGGGAGCACATGGCGCACAGGAAGCACTGCAGATGGTAGACATTGTCCTGGGCCCGGCGCACCACCTGCGTGGGCGGTATGCCCATATCACAAGCGGAACACTTTGTACCGTAACGTCTGTTCGACCCAAACATTGGCAAATGCGCATGAAAGGAGATTTTTCATTAAACCAATTTGTCTTTGAAAATAACTCATGCCATGCCATCCGTTGGCATTTGAGAAATTTACTTACTTGAAGAAGTCCTCCTTGCAGAAGAGCTGGCCATTCCTCGCAAAGCACTTGTCGTTCAGCTGGCCGTGGCACTCGCTGCATTGGAGGCACTTCGCGTGCCACGTCCTTTCCAGCACCTTGAGGATGAAGCGGTCCAGGATCAACTCGTGGCAGCCGCCGCACTTCGGAATCGTAGCTAAAATGAGGAAGCAGGGAAAATGCACCTGTTAATTGCTACCGATCTTATATATCTGCTTCTAGGATAGCACTATATGTTAGGGCCCTTGGTTTTCTTTACCCATTTTGTTTGAGAAATGTTTTTTATTTTTGTTTTTTGCAGCGTACAAATTCTCCTCTGAACTGAATCAAATCAAAACAATATTTAATTGACCTATTTGATTGTAAATTGAATTTGCTTTTGTCGTCAATTTAAAAAGTCACTATATAAAAATATGCTAATATGTGATTTGAAAATACAAGTTTAACCAGCTTTCAATTTTTAAAAACGGAAAAACTCCAAACCGATTGGAAGAAAACAAGAGTTAATTGGGATTGAAAAATTAGTTCTGCTAAAATGTTTTTTATTCTTCAAATTTTTTTCTTAAACCAAATTTTTTGCGGTGATTTTCTAACACAACTTGTCTTTATAGATTTTAAATTATTGTATTCTTTTTTTTATTAAAAAAAGCAAACAAAATTTTTCAAAAATGCCAAAAGATTTCCTGATTGTGATATTTACTTGATCAAGTGCTACCCACATAAAAAAATAATTGCAAAAGCTGTCAAAATGTCATAAATATAAGTCTAAATGTGAAATCGTACTATATTTATACTCTGCATTTATAAAAAACAAGCTTGTATATTTTTAGTGCGATTGATTAAAATTGATTAAAACATGTTAGAGCATTTTCAAAACCTTCCCTAACTTAATAGTCTAATGCAATTTGAAAAGTTTTAGTTAATCTCATTATAACCAATTACTTTGGTTTAAATAAAAACAAAGTGACTTTTCTTTGCAGTGTCACAAAAATTTCTTGTTGCCATGTCGCACACCTTGTGAAGGCTTAAGTATTCCAGGCTCTTTGACCCACTAAGAAGATAAAACGGATGCCAAACCGAGGTCATAACCCCTAAATCTTTTCCCTCCTGCAACTTACACAATAAAAACTCTGGCAATTGACTCAAATTAATCGGCGGTACGCGATCATCACATTTGCCATTGGACAGAAAGTCACTTTTGAACATCATTAGTTTCAAAAGTTCCATGCTGTTGGCGAAGGAAAATTCCCGACGCTTTCTGGTATGCAAATTCTGATTGGATTTCGTTTCAAGCACTTTCACTATTTCACATCGTGGTTTTTCGTTGATTTAATCCACATTTTGCTTGGCCAACATTAAGTTGGAGGTTTTTGCTTTGCGATTTGCGGTTTTCGGTTTTCGGTTTTCGGTTTTTTTTATTTATTTACTTATATTTTGGTTTTGGCTTGTGTACCGTTATCACAGAATTTTAGCTGCACGAATGACCGGGGAAAAAAAACCGAGCGGCAACTTCGACGTTTGGTAAGCAACTGACGACTAACGGCACACGAATCCAATGCTTATTGGGGAAGGGGGTGGTCTGCACACACGCACACGCACGCACACACACACACACAAACAAACAGTGGCTGACATAATCACAGCTGGAATGGGAAACCCAACCCTTAGCACTTCCAATTGGAAAGCTGATTCAGCTGCACCCTGTGCCAAATATTGTAGTTGCTTTTGTTCTTCCGACTGTGCCAGTTTTCCAGACTGGTCTTTTTTTTGCTTTTCTTTACTCTACGATTTTTTTTGCCCTCAACAATTGAGTTTTGGGTTGGTCGCCAAAAACAACGGCGGGGAAATTGCATTGTAACACTTAGCCACATTCCATTTTCCACTGGCATGTGCGTGTGTGTGTCTGTGCTGTGGGGAGGGGAAGGGGGTTGTGGATTTTCTTTTGGCTTTTTTTTTGTGTGTTTGTGTGCCTGGGATTGGTTGTTTTGTGTGCGTCGACGTCGCCTGCAGTTTTCGGGGAGTGGTCTCTTGAAAAAGCTCTTTTCAACTCGGCTTTTTTCCCACCCCCTCTTGCCGGCCCTCTCTTTCTGGCATATTTGCCCCGTCTCTCTTACACCTCGTGCTCTTTCTCTTTCGCTCCTGTTTTGTTTCGCAAATTCGGTTGGAAAACACACTGGTGTACTAAAAATACTCATACTCGTAAATATGTTTGTATTGTTCTGCACTGCAGTTTTGGTCGGCTCTTCTTCTTCCCTGCCATATCCTGCCCGCTACATGTGTATTCGTTAGCTTGTGTGTGTGTGTGTGCGCACTTGGCTGCCATTGCTTATTGTTGTGTCATTGTTTCGTAACTGTGAAAATGACCTTAAAGCCGTTAAATAGCTGACTGACTGACTCCGAGCGACCGGCTGATCGAGAGCAACGTCTGCGCACCTGCCACCCAGGACCCCCTAACTCCAGGACCTCTGAACCCCTCCTGAGCCCCCTTCCCCAATCCCCCAATCGCAGAGCACACAGAGAAATTTACCTAAAATCACGCCAAGATAAGATTTAAATAATTTAAAGATTTCTTGCACAGAAATTCATCACTCGTGTTCAAATTGGAATGTTTAAAAATCCTAAAAAAGCAAAAGATAAATTTACAAAAAATACACTAAATACCTTGTTTACAAAAATATTGGGTTACAAAAATATTACATTATCTTTGTTTTTAAGGTATACGTATCCGAAAAACAATAACCTATTTAAATGTCATAAAATTTTATAAATATATTCAAAGAAAGTTAATCCTAATCATTTTTTTTTCTGTACGAAATGTTTTAGCAGCAATAAAAGACAATGAGATAATTAAACACTTGTATTTGATTTAAGGTTTAATTTTTGCACAGGCTTTTTTCTCAGTGCACCCAAACACACTCGAACGTTTGCAACCATCCGTCAGTCGGTCGGTGAGTCGAGACGAGCGCCTATAAGCTACCAAGTGGTCTCTTTGGTCTCGGCCATTTTCCAAAAGCCAAAATGTGCGTGGCCAAACGGACCGACACCTACACACACACACACACTCACAGATTCGCACGCAAAATGGGGAATCCCTCACACTCGCATTTGACATCCGGACTTTAGGACGTTTTAAAGGCTCTTCTTTGTAATTTGACTTGACAGTTGGTCTGCAATATTTCTGAATTTTTCCTTCGTTTTTAAGTTCTTGGCTTCTCAGATTTTATTCAATCTGACATGTAACACTATTCAGAGAAAGTAAGTTTGTGAAGAAAAGAAAAAGGAACTTGACTTTTAACATTTTAAATTTGTGCCAAATAAAATTGAGGAAAATTGCTTTTAAGAAATGCTTTCACGCCCAAACCTTGCCTATCATTTGATAATTTTAATATTTTCGTATATTTCTGCAACTCAAGCATTTTGCAGCAATAATATTTGTCTCCCATTTCTATGGAATTTCCTAAACCACAAAAAACAACCTAAGAATTAAAGCATACAATTGTACTCGTCAAACAGAAATAAAACCGTTACAAATTCATAGCCGACAGCGACGTTGTCAGGACTCGACAACAGGATTCCCAACAAAAAGGACGAAAAAGAATAAGGATATTTTTGAATGGCTGCCCTGGATAAAATGGCGGCTTCGCAATCGAAGGCAAATTGAGCGATACGCAGCCAGACAAACATAGATATACATATATATATATCTATATATTTATATATATATTTGTAGACATATGTACATATTTATCCTTGTCGCTAAGCATTATCTGGGCAGCAGGACAGTGGGCTTTCAGAGTCCTGAAGGGAGCTTAAGCATGTTGGCAACGGGCAAAAGGCAGCCAAAGCTGGGATTACTCCTTGCAGGACCCAAAAGCAGCTCTTTTTCGTGTAAGCATATATACATACATTCCCCCTCGATATCCTCGGGATAGGGCGGGCATTAAGGATGCAGAGACTGGGTTTTCAAAAATTCATATAGCCCAAAAAAAAACTAGCATTTTGCCGACTTCTCAAAGCGAGTGCACGCAAGCACGCACTCCACAAACTCGGTTCGCTTTTGTCCAAGTTTGTTGCTTAATCGCAGCTGGTGAAAGACAAAATGCTCATCAACCTGGGTCGGTAGTATGTAGTGGGTAGTGGGTGGTGTAGTGGGTGGTGTAGTGGGTGGTGAAGTGGGCGTTGGGTTACACCCACACCAGCCACAACAACAACAACAGGAATAGTCACTACCCTGGTGATGATGCTCTGGGGGTTGCGGGCACGCCCTGTAAAATGGCTCGCCTGCAGCAAAACAGCTAAACACCGTTTGGAAAATTTAGTAATACCTCTATACAAACAATGTTAACAATATTTTCTTTAAGCCGAAAAGGAGTTCTAGGAATTACAATATTTATGTAATGGAAAGTAAGCAGGAGTTTTTCAATTAAATAATTTATAATTCGGAAAAAAGGAATTTTCTTAATAACTATTATCTTGTATAGTTTTCTGAATTAAAATAAAATTATAAATAGTCATGCAAAGTGTCACCCCTTAACGTTCGTTTATTTACTGTAGAATAAATTTGTATTTTTAAAGAATGCCCTTGGCTATATCCTGTTCACCATTTTCCGATCCACGCTCCTCACTTTCGCGTGGGCCAAAAGTCCCTTGGCGGCTTTAGCCTGTCGTGTTGCCTCAACGTTAAAGTTTAAAAGCGTTGCCGCCACTTTGTTGCTTTGCAACTCACTCTTCTAAACCGTTTGGTTTATAACTTCCTTTCGGTTTAGATGTCTCTCGAAGCTTAACCAGTTTTCAGGAAAAAATAACCACCAGCAAAATAATAAAAAAATAATTTTCCAACCAAGTCATTGTACTTTTAAAAGAACTGGAAAAAGTTTACTTTTTTTCCAATCAACTAGGAATTAAAAGCATTAATTTTGGCTAACTTTTTTTTTTTTTAATTTAACTTTTCATTGATTTTATATAAATTCTACTACTTGTCATAGCCTCTCTAGATTCCATCCTAATGACATAATTAACTCCCTTCTGATCGATTTAGGGCCCCAATTTTATTTTAGTCCAGTGCTGACATCTGTTCAGATCCTTGCGATGTAATTAGATTGACAACTTAATTGAGCTTCTCCACCTCGATGGCAGGTTAGAGTGCTCACCAATTGC